AGTAGGAGTAGGAGGAGTAGGAGGAGTAGGAGGAGTAGGAGGAGTAGGAGGAGTAGGAGGAGTAGGAGGAGTAGGAGGAGTAGGAGTAGTAGCAGCAAAAGCAGGAGTGGTGGCAGAAGTGGCAGCAGCAGTCGCAGCACTGAGTCTGGGCTCAGGACATGATGAGTCCCTCCTAACCACCTCGCCAAGCTTTCTTGCACTGATTTGTGAGCAACTATGATTTTTGTGAAAAGGAATCTGAAAAATTCTGAGGCCGCCAGAGCCCTAAGCAGTATCTCAACTGTATACATCTCAAACTTCGGATTTGTCAACTGCCGCGGCTGAACCAAAGCATTGAACCTCCTGCAAGCTCATGCACGTAAAAACATATATACACAACAAACGCGCACGCATTCGCATACATATACACGCAGACGTACCCAGACACTGACACGTACACATACAAATACACATACACATGCATATACATGTACGCACACCTACTTACATCCATCCATACACATACAAACTTGCAGACAGATCTCTATGCGTGTATGCATCGATGCATGCATATGCGTATATATGCAAGTACGTATGTGTATGCACAGACATGGACTTGTGCACTCTGTACGGTGCTATGTGGACCCACTAGTTTTTCATCTTTTCTCTTCTGCTGAACCTTTGCCGGAAGACTTTGCCCCGAGACAGGCTTCAGCGTGCTCTGTGGGCTGCCAGGTTTCCGCTGCAAGCAAAGCAAGCTGAGGCTGCCAGCTGAGATGCCTTCAAAGAGGACAGTTCTCAATGCAACCCTGCTTCAGGTTGCCATATACATGACACCTGCACTTCAAGTAATCAAAGATAGCTCCGGCTTTTTGGTGGAGCAGTCAGTTCCGTTTCCGCCTGCATTCTATAGTGGGTCGCGACTGGAACGTACTTGTGCTGGTGGCGGTCTCTACTTCTTGAAAGTTACGACCTTCAGTTTGGCAGCTTCAGATGTGATCGCATGTATCTTCGAATGTCGCATGTGATTGATTGTAAGGTCAAAGGAAAGCATCTTCCACCTTCAGACATCTGTTTACTCAAGAATGCGATTCCTCGCGTGGGTTGCTGCCGCCGGCCACGAAACAAACCGTCTGCTGCCGGTTACCCCACTTCTCCAGCTAAGTATAGCTGTAATCCCGCAAACACCCAAGCGCTGTGGCAGATGCTGGCCTATAGCTTCAGCCATGGCCCGGCGAACGTTGGCGACCTCCTCCGGGCCATCTTTGCCCTCACAGCGGAGCTGGGTGCTCCAGACCTCGAAGCAGAGACAAAACAACAAGGCTAGTTGCTCACGCTCGTAAGATCCGACCGATCTTTTAGCCTTGGCTTAAGTCTTATAACCCCCGGCTAGGGACAAGCCTTCTCCAGTCCACACCTGCTGTAGTGCACTGCAAGCGATGCGAAGGGCACTGCCATGCGGCACACTGCCGATCACAACAGGGTGATCCTACTCCTACAAAAAACAAGAATTCAAGCTACTGGGCCAAAACGGACAGCATGCACGATACAAATATCCTTCATCTGACAGGATCACGCTGAGCTGCGGCAACATCTGAGCCTCTTGGGCCGCAACACTCCAACCTGTTTGGAGAGCAAGATGTGCTCTCGAGTCTGTGGCATGGGTCCGTCATAACCTCCAGGCAGATGCCGCGCCACAGAGAGCCAGAGCAGCTCCGTCCCTGGCCTGACACCACCAGGATGGCTCCATCCATCTGGGCGGCCTCGGCGACACCCCAAGCTCGGTCTTGAAGTACAGCTTCAACAAGAGCAGTTGAGATGCGCCGGTGATCATGTTCTTGACATAATCAGCATGACCAGGACCTCGACGACAACGGGGCTGCAGCGTTGCGTGGCATAGTTGCGTCATGCACCAAGAGCCCAACAATCTACATGTCCATAGTGCCGCTTGTCAGTCTCATACTCTACATGAGCCTGATTGATGGTGATGCCACCTGGAGGTCAAGCCCAGTAAAAGCACGGTAGAGACAGACATTCGTAGCAACAAGCGGTCTGCTTATCAATAAGTAAGACTCGAACGCTTTTGTTCCTCAGGAGCCTGTCGCTGGAGTCTATTCAACCGAGGGGTGCAAGCAGATGCTGGTGGCAAACAGGAACGCAGCAGAATCTGGAGAAAGACTGCAGAGGAAGCCTTGTCAATCGCTTCATAGGCTTTGAACTCAGCTCGCCCCTCATCTGCCATAACCTGAACCGGTATGTGCCGACCAACATGCTTGCATCGACTGGTCCCTGTTGTGGAAGACTTATGGCCTTTGTGATGGCTGCAGTCAAAGTGGTTTTTCCTTAGCACGACGGGAAGCAAAGGTCGGATCCTACGGGGGTCTTGGACGAATGCTGTAGACGGATCATTCCAGGGGATTTCGCCGATAGTCACATGGAGGACTACAGCGTTGCTACCGACCGCAGATCCTGAAGGCCAGGTAAGGCTGTCTCGATTTCTGGATGACCGACAAAGTTATCCCGAAAGCCTACCAAATATGTCACTGCATGCCAAGACTCCGTGATCGACGTGGCCGATGGTGCCGATGTTCATGTGTGGTTTGTTTCGTTGGAAGACCTACCATGGGCACAGAATCATTTCACAAGCCCCAGCTTCGGGCAGAACTCCCATCATGTCGGCTTTCCGTGCTCAAGCTTGCCGGGTTCGCCCCCACGGCAAAGCTGCGCGTCGCACCTACCCGACCACAGCAGTCAGCAGCCGCCGGCATCACTTGCAAAACTGCTTCTGACATGAAGAGCACTGGTTTTTCTCACATGTCAGCTTGGCTTCATGAAGCTGAGCAGCTTGTGTAAGATGTGTAAGAAAGCTCCGTGAAAAGATATTTCTGCCGCAACCCTGAAGGGACAGCCGTTAGCCGTACGCGCCAGCCTTTCGAGCCGCGGGCGCCAAGCGCAAATGCGGCACGGACTGCGAAGGCCTCGGAAGAGCTGAGAACTTCGCAGATCTCTCGGCGACTAAGAAGCCCAAGAGTCTAAGAAGCCCTGGCTGTTGGTTCCCAGAACCAAGGATCCAGCCATTGTGTCAGCCAACAGCGAAAATTGCAGCCTTGACAAAAAAAGGTGTTGTTTTTTGGACCCAGCGCCCAAAGGGCAATCGAATTCACTGAGCCGGCCTGCCGAAAAGGCCAAAAACTGTTTGTGGGTTGGGTTGTGTGGTTCAGCGGGTTGTGGCTTGAGCCGAATTCGTGGTTCCGTAATGGAGATGGAGATGCCTCAAAACCTGTCTTCAAGGCGTGATTCAGACTTTATGGAGCTTTCCCGTTTTGATTCTTGATCTGCTTTGCAGACTCCGCCTCTCGGTGAGACACGGTGAGACCGTCCCCGGCTCGGAGATAACTTCTCTTTCCAGCTTGTTGCCGACAGAAAGCCTCTACATGGCAAGCCGCTCACCGTTGTAGTCGAATGTGTAGTGGAACCTCGGGGTCGAAACAGGGCGACCGAAGCGCGAACCTTCTGCCGAAGTCTTGCCGACCCCCCTCGCTTGTCGACGCGTCGGACTGAGAAGCCAGCTTGGGGCGCCCCAGAATTGGTGGCATGGGGTTGTGGATATCCATGGATGCCTTCCGCTCTGAAGGTGCAATGTGGGCGAGAGAAACCTGCTGCACAACTATGCCACGGTGCATTCTCACGCGGCAAGCGCGGATTTGGCCTCGCGCTTTTTCGAGATCGCATGCTGCGACTGCAAATAAAAACACTCGCACACAGCCAGAGAGAGACAATATATATATATATATATACACATACACACACCCATGCATGAACGGAATGCAATTCAGGCAGGCGCAGCATGATCACGTTCTTGCCATCCATTGTTTGTCGCAGCCTCAGTGATCCCAGAACGAGGGGCGACAGAGACCGGGAAGGTTTGGGCTCCAGGCTCGGCTTTGGGAAGCTTCATCCCCGTCGAGGCCAGCTGGCCAAGTCGCGTCGTCCTGCCTCTCCTCGCTTCCTCCGAGCCCTTTGGAGCTCGGTGTGTTCTGGGCGCGTCTGACGGACTAGCAACTGCCTGTGGGCGCTGCATCAGCTCCGCGTACTTCTGTGACATGTACCGACGTGCGTGGGGGTCCTGCAGTGCCACCGCTTTTCCAGCAGCATGGCATTTGTGCGGCCCTCCCGGCCCTCCTCCTTCAGAACTTGCAGGTTGGCCTCCGAGAAACTGTGGCCGATGCGGCCGAGCTGCTGGGCCCTCGAAGCCGCAAAGCGACGAGAGCACAAGGCACCAGGGTCCCCCCCCCCTACTCCCTCGAGATAAGCTAAGCTCAGGCAGCTGCACTCGGCGTGAATGATCCGGACCCACGCACTGAGCCTGCCAGGTTTTACGAAAACGTATACCGCAAAGCGCGGTAACTACAATCCACAACAGATGCCTGAAAGTTCTTCTTCGCCAGTGGGTTGTCATCATAGAAGGTGAAGGGAGCCGTTGCCAGGAGCTGGCATTCGCCACGTGCACCAACTTCTTCACATGCGGCTTAGATCGCTTGTCTTCAGGGTGGGGGGAGGGAGGGCGCGGTCGCTGAAGTTTGGCTCAAGTGCCTTGGATCGGTTGTTCCCACGCAGCCACCATTCCTGGCGAGACAGGCACAGCAGAACTCAGTCGACGCCTTCACGGGGCTGCATTGGCCTCGTCCGGAATCGGTTCCCTGTTGTATCGATCACCAACCGGAGCAGCCTTGCCGGCACAGAGAAGCTGACACACTCTGCACCCAGAGTGCTTGCGAGATTTTGAACTGCGAAGGGTCAGGATGCATCACAGGCACAAGTCGCGCCAGCCAGCCTAGTTACGCAATCTAAACCCTGCTGGCCAGGCTTCGTGAAGATCCGGGCTGTGATCAAGGCAAATTACGCGAGTCGGCCACTGCCACTAGCAACTAGTAACTAGTAATCAGTATGCGATTATGTCTCAGCCTCGCCGGTAGCGGGATGGCGCAAAGCCTGAGAAAGTTGAGAAGACTTGAGAGTACAGTGACCCAACGTGCCGCGGAGCCTTCCGGGTGTTAGGCTTGTTTGGGGAGACGGGCGCGAGATTGGGGGGCCTCGGTGCCTCAGCAGCTTTTGAAGAAACCATGCATGATAATGCTTCTTGTTTGGAACCTGTGGGGCTAGGGACCTCAATTGTGCTAACTGCCCCACATCAGCGGATCCAAGGCCTAGGCTGTAGCGCTGGCTCGGGAGGTTTGGCTCTTATCCGACAGCCACCTGTCACGTCGGCAGACTACGACTTCCGTCCCTCGACCTGTGGGAAGGCCAGCCGCGGCCAACACCGAGAGAGAGAGAGAGGGAGAGAGCGGGGTTTTGCGTGTGACAAAGATGGAACGCTGCACCGTGCGGGGGGTAGCCAAACCTCGACTTAAAGGCAGCAACTTTCTACAATGCCTGAGTGGAAAGATTACAGTGACCACATACCTGACAGGCCTTCCGACAGGTGCTAAGAAAGTTGAGGCTGCCCTACAAGTGTTGACCTGCAAAGATGATAACGAGAAAGTGATGAATCAGAGAAAGAAACTTTTCACACGTTTCAAGCCTTGTCGGACGACCAGCTCCACATCTGAGTAGAAGAACAAAGAGAACGGATCACAACAAGCAAACACAACGAAGGTGAGGGGAGAGACGGATCGGCATAGTAAAGAGCCCAAGAAGAAGAGCAACTCTGAGCCCAAGCCGCCAAGTACAACAAATCTCAGTGCTGAGTGTTGAAACGACACTTCGAATCTCAATGTGGAAAGCGGGCTGTTCAAACGAATAGGCAACCAAGCAACTGATTGGACACAAAATTGATCAAGCGAAGATGTCGGAGAGAGCCAGCGAGCGAGCAAAGAGTGAAGCAAGCAAGCAAGCAAGCAAGCAAGCGAGCAAGCAAGAGAATGAGAGAAGAGAGAGGGCGAAAAGTACAACCTGGGAGGTGAAGAGCAAGGGGCAAGACGCACTCTTCTGCGCTTGTTCCCGACACGTCGTGCTGAGGCAGCAAGTCGAGAATCCAGACAAATCTCCGACTGGAAGCCGTGTCGGGGAGGCCGTGTCACGTGGCCTGAGGCCACCTCGCCGACCACCATTGGAGCTCCCTGTGAGCCGAGAAGAGAGAGAGACGAAGAGAGAGACGAGTAAAGAGGGCCGAGTCCTGGGCCCTCCGGGCGCCGCGATGCGCGCCGCGTCAGAGCATGGCACAAGCTTGAGCCCATGGCTCCGCTAACCTGACACCCCCTGAGGATCAAGTTGGCCGTGGCGGACAGCCACATGGGAGGATCCCTTGCCTTAGCAGCCGAGGCGGACGAGGAAGAGCGGGGCAACCATTTTGCAAAGTTCCGAGGTGGCCGATGTTGTAGATTGCACATTCCTTCCGGATCGGTGGACTTCTTCGGTTGTTGGCCGTCATCTGGAACACTGCAAGACCTCCGACAGCGGTCTTCCAAGGAAAGCATCTTTGCTTTTTCTTTGGGCTGGCGGTGCCACCCTACAAGTTGCAAAGTTTCTGCAAGCGGTCCATGACTGAGCGCAGTACCTTGTAGCAAAACCTCAGGACTTCCTACAGACGCCCCGGCGCGTCACCACTTTCGCTTCGTTGCAGCTTGGCATATGATGCAGATTCAAGGCTCGTCGCGCCGCACGCGACGCACGCAACCTCACATCTCACCCACATGGCTGCACAGCACGGCCGAGGATAGAATCTGCGCACACAATTCCTGGATCCTGCTGCAACGTGCATAACTTCTTTGTCATCCAACGAGCGCTGGACCGGGGTGCTTTCTGCTAGCCGTTGATTGCACGCTGTGGCAAGTCGCTAGGCTAGTGGTTTTTTTGAATTTCGTGTAGGAAACAGCCAAGCTCCGGCTGTCTGGCAGCAACAGGCTCACAGCGGCTATGTGAAAGAAATCAGGCGCGCAAAGCGACCTGGGGTGGCTTCCTGAGACCCCTCCTCAGCCAGGAGGCAACTCTTTCCTCAGGGGGTCCTCAAGAAGCTCGACCTCACTTGCTGCGCGCGCACTGCGCTGTCAGCGGAGGCTCTCGGTCGCCGCTCTCGAGCTCCCGACGGCGACGCCGGCAAGGCGCAGCTCGCTGAAGCTGCGCAGGACATCGGAGTACCTGCCGTTTGCGGCACATCTTTAAACGGCTTCCTGTCGGAAGAGCTGAGTAGCCAGCGTTCGGGGAGCTGGCAGCACCCTCGCTGAAGTCATGTCAACCAGAGCCTTGTGAGTCGAACTTAGCCGGCTCTGAAGTTAGGACTATCGCAGCTTTTGCCACTGAGGCTGGCTAGATTGCGAGACATGTGCCTGCGCACGTGAATCGTGCCCGCAGATTGCCACTTCATGTTGGGAGCCAGGCTGAAACAATAAGCTGCCAGCGCAGCCCGCAGCAAGCGATCTTAGCAAACACAAAGCAATCGGAGGCCTGCAATCGAAATAACTCAAAGTACGGCCTGATAGCTGTGTTGTAGGTGTCAGGCGGCACTGGCATACGTCTCTCCGCTTGCCAATCCAAGCCGCTGCGACTCCTTCGAGCGGTTGGGCTTGATCTCAGACGTCCAGGCAACCGAACTCTGTCCTCCAGCAATAGGAGGGCCTGCTCCCATGCGATAGATGGTGCAGCATCGAAGGCAGCCTCGCTCCAGGAGTGGCTTTCGGCTAAGGCTGCAGGAGTGTGCTGCTAGAAGGCTTTGCAGCATGGCTCGATGCTTCTGCGGCCGTGGGTTGTCTTCGCACTCGAATCCGAGTCTCTGTCGGCAGCTGCAGCATATGTAGCAAAGCTTGGCGTCATCAGCCGCCTCAGCACGCACCACGCTCGTCTAGTGCAAACTGGGTGATTCGGTCCCAGCCTCAGTTTACATAAAGCGAGGAAGCGAGGCTTACAAGTTGCAAGAAGGCATAAAGCAAGCGGCGACTGCAGCTCGCTCAGCAGCGCAATCGCCTGACTCGGGTAAGTCTGTGGCTGTTGGCACTTGCATTCGATTCAAGGGGGCTTCAGGTCCAGTCCCGTGGCTCTACGGGTCTCCGGGAGTCTGATTCTGCATGACGATGCTCAAAGTAACACCCACCTGCGTCCACAGACCGAAGCGAGAGCAGGTGGCAATCGCGGTGTTGATCGCTGGAGTCGAGACCTACAGCTTTGGGTAGAGTGCGACTTCAGCAAGTTCACAATTTGCCTCCTTCCCGTGACAGCGGAAGCTCGCAACGCAGTCTCCGGACACGTGCGCGACGCGATTGAGGGCTGCACACCTGTCGGCATACCTGTTTCCGGCTTCAGCTACTTGCAGAATCTGCTCTGCTGAAAGGATAAGTCGGCCACGATCCATCTCGGCCAAGAGAAGAAGGGCCTCATGCTCGAAAGCCGTCCTCTTTCCAGAATGACCCAAACCGGGCCAACGACGAGCCGCGGCTGTCGTCCTCGGAAACAAGCCTGCCACGGGGCAGCGGCCCGTACAGTAGGTCGAAGGGGAAAATTGTACCCAAAGCGCCTTCAGGCCCTCCTCACAGGTGGACATGCTGGCCACGGATAGATCTCTAGCGCGGCCAAGGATGAGCAGCGCCTGAAACGCAGAAAGAAAGACAGATCGCGCCCTTCTCCGCAGGTCAAGCGGCCGGCGAACCTGCTCCCAGAGGCCTCTTTGGCAGCATCCACCTGAAGAGGATGGTTTAGGGGAGGGCACTCATCACCTTCCCCCGCCTATGAGCTGGGCGCAGGTGACTGCGTCCGGTTGCAGCGATTCGCCTACAGCAAAGACGCAAGGCTGCAGGAAGAAGTCTTTTGCCCTCCGAGACCGCAGCCCTTCATCGTGTCCAACACGAGCTTGCACTGCGCCTTGCTCAGGAGGCTTCGACACGTTTGAGTTGCAGCTGGACTATGGCCCTCACCAGCTCTTGCGCCCGAGCACAGGCCGTAATGACTGCATTCAAAGCGGCAATCTCTGGACCTGCAGTCGGCCAAACCGCATCTGTGTGCTAGCTGTCGCGTCAACAGCGAAAGTAGCTTGGCTTACAGCTGAAACTCGAAATCTGGATCTTCTCCAGAAGGCTGACAGCCTGGCGAACGCGTGGCACTCGTGGACAGGGAAATAACAGTGTTCCCAAAAGGAGTCGCAACACAGAGGTCTCTGAGGCGCAAGCCATCTCCCACTTTCCTGAAGATGGACACCGAATGCATGTGCTTAAGGCGGGGGTGCGATGGCGCTTGGCTGAGTGCAGGGCTCCAAGGGCCTCCGCCACTCCAGGGTAAGTTGCTTCGGACACGTTCGCCTGCTAATACCTGAGTAGCTCCGGTTCCCAAAGCCATAGGGCCCTTCAAGGCCCGGAAAGAGAGAGCCTGATGGGCCTCGCGCGTCCTCCAGCTCGACCTCTGTCGGCTCACGAAGGCTGGGGCGGCTGGGAGCCCTCTTTGGCGCTGCCGGCGGCATGGACTCGACCTTCCAAAGGCCAGGGCGAGGCCCTACTGGAGCTGAGGCCTAGGGCCTGGGGCGCCGAGGGCCGAGGGCCTAGGATCATCTGAGCACCACACGACAACTGGCGGAAAGTCCCACCTTTTGAAAGCTTCTTTCAGTTCTAGAGACGGACGCTTAATGCTTCTCGCGGAACTGTCCCTTAGATCAGAGCTTCGGAGTGCGAGGCTCCTGTGTGGGTTGGGCAGTTCTGGCCCGCAGCACCTTGCCAAGAAACAGTCTTCCACCATCATGCTCGGAAAGCCAAAGCCCGCCATGAGACGGCTGCATTCCGGATGGATATCTCTCGCTTCTCCTGCCGCGTTCTGCCCCTTTGCGCCTGGAAGCAGACCCGCAACAAATGCTTCCGATCTTTCATGACTAGGCTTGGCGTGGCCTCTTCCTGAGCACCAGCAAGGACCTGCCGAGACAAGTCCGAGCTGATCAAAACTGTTGCTTCTGACTTGGACAAGTCCGACTTGCCGCCTGAATTACGGTGTCCAGGTCAGCAGGTAACGGATTGAAGCCGTCTGCCTATCACTGAAGGATATGGGAAGCGCCGGCATGCGCTCTGCAAGCCTCCATCTCGGCGAGAAGGCTCACAGCAAGTGCCTTAGGCTTGCGGCTGGAGCTGCAAATGCTGCCGCCTTAAGGGAAAAGGGACCCGGCCCACAGCCGCGACGAACACGCATCCAAAGCAGTCCGGTAGAGCCTCGCATTCGTCTCCACACCTTACAGTGCTCACAGCATGGGAAGCATCGCCGTCGCTTGCACGCAGAAACGTCGTCCATCGTTTCTCTTTCCGAGTATCCGTGCCCCAATGGCGTGCTCGCCACAGGAGGGCCATGACCTGGCGTGCTCTTCCGGGTTCTGAGACTTAGGGACCCTCTGAAAGAACGGCAGACCAGGCCTGCGCCTGAGCCGGGCGCCGCTCGAGGTCTGCCTTCACAGAGAGCTCTACGTGCGCGCTGCCTGCAGCCTGCCTGCCGCCACACAGACTGACATGGGCATCGGGCCTTGGACTCCACATCCGTCCCTCCCACCCTGCTTCCTGCAATCGGGGCGTGCACTTGAGGCCCACTTCATCCGAATGCAGCATGCTGTAGCACAGGCGCTGCAGCAGCTTTATTTGGCTGGCATCAAACTGTTTTGCCAGAAATCCAGACTGGCCATTCGATACATGGACGACCTCTGGGCAAACCCCTATATGTTATGTTGTCATTGTGCCTGCCTCCATACTTCATGTACCCAATTGCCTGCGTCTAAATCGCCTGTCTGGAGAACTGGATGCAAAAATGCACATGGCTGCGAGCACTGCTGCGCGAGCAGCGCATACATACAAATTGTGTAGCATGCGAAATCCTCGCAATGCTGGTGTGTTGGCACCCCGACATGCTACAATCTGCAGACCCGGCAAGGACCCAGGGTTCCAGGGACACCTTGCGGGTTCAAGTGAGCTGTAGTCACCTCGACCCTGGCTTGGCCAGTGACGACAGGGTGCACAACTGCCTGACAGCATAGTGCAGGTGCAGTGAAAGCACCAAAGGCACTGGCTGGCATCATAACCTGCTCCTACCGGTCTTCCAAAGCTTGCAGCTGCTACGTTGTGGCTGAAAAACTCCAGGCTCCTACTGGAGTGACGCCTTCTTGGGGGGTCCATAGCCAAAGAAGTCATCCAAGTAGCAGAAGAATTGATGGAAGCAGCAGTCTCTCCTCTGGTGATGAAACTCATGCCGGTATGCCCCGCCATAGATGTTTGGGAGAATCCTGTGCATGGACCAAGGCAGATCCAGGCCAGAATGTGCTTCTGAAAGAAGGTATGTTACGAGCATGTTGTGAAGGAGACGGCTCAACTTGTGCTTCGGCAGGCCAAAAAGTGGCAAGTTCTGAACTAAGATGTTCGTCATCACCTGAAGGAAGGCATCTTCCATGGATTGATTGACCACAAGCTCCACCCCCAAGAAGCTAGTTCCACAAACCGGATGCACTTTCAGTTCATGATGGGTCTCGTGCTTATGCCATGAGTTCGGGAACTTGTGCATCGACAGGTGAATCCAGTAGAATATGAAGTCGTATGCCAGAATGCCAAGCAAGAGCTCGGTGAAAAGACGGAAGGCTGTGGGGGGATCCTCCTGGACTTTGGGCGCAGCCCTGACCGAGTGAAGTAACCACACGCCTCCGACATACACGGGAAAGGAGGCATAGACTCTGCTGAAAGTTCTGGATGTCATGCAGTGAGAGTTAAGAGGGTGCGACTCTGTCCGAACTACCATCCGGAAGGGCTTCACACAAGGAATCTCGTTCAGAATGAAAAACAGCGAAATCCACGCAACAAAAGCGAATGCCGCGATGAGTGCTTCAATCATCGACCAATGTATGGCTGGCCACGAGTACATTTCCTTCCAGCATGAGGCCACGAACGAATCCAAGTCGATGACCCCCATGCCATGCAGCAAGGTCACTGTCGGCAAGAAGCCCTGGCAAAGTCTGGTCACGGCTTTGGACCAGCGCCCGTGCGCTTCATCTGCCAACCTGATGGTACTGTGCCACGCCTTCTGCGGCGCCCATCCAGAGTGCACCCCCATCGAACGAGCCCGCGAGAAAATCTGCTGAAAATGGCCTATTCCCGGCAACTCCGTGTTTGAGCACACGCCGTCACATTCGTGGATGCTGCGCAATGCAACCTTGGAGCATCACGAATTCTGCATCTGAACCTCGGCAGATAGATCTTCTAAGTCCAAGTCTAGACCGTACGTAGAATTAAGAATTTCTTGTGCGCTGGAGTCCCTTGCGTACAACAACGCCTGCATCGCAGGCTGACATAACATCTGCGAAGGTGTCTGCGGTCGGTTCGAGCCCCTCTCCTGGCAGTCAGTGCACATGTGTTGATGTCGGCTGCAAGTTTCCCTTTCATGTCTTCCAGAACTCAAACAGAATTGCTGCGCGCCTTTCATGCATAGGAGAACGTCCAACCTCAGGTAGACATCTGCTGTAAGATCGGACTCCGATGTCGAAGACGCAAAAGCTCGCACTGGCTGCAGCAGCTCTTACCAGCCAATGTGATGCTGCATGTGTTGCCCTATCGCCGGCTTGTGATGAGAGCTGCTGTCGACAATGGAAACACACAGCTGCCACTGGAGTCCTGGCGCCATCTCCCATGTACGCGCTTCAGCGAAAGCTGTCACGAGGCTGCGGCCTGAAGGCAAATTCAACTCGAGAGCAGACTCCTTCGGCTCTTGCTTTAGGCCTTAGGCTGGCCGAAGCGGCTAGGGCCACAGCCCAACTCGGCGTCTTCGAGCTTCTGCGGGAGAAGCTGTGAGGCCTCAGTTATTTCAGTATATCATACATAATCTTATGGAATTATATCAGCATGGGTCACAGAAACTGTCTCTGTCATTGTTTGTTACCGAGTGGAATGCACCCTGAGTCACACGCCATCTCCGCTTGGCATGCTTTCGCACAGATCTCGACCTCGGCTAGCACAAGAAATGTGATTCTCGACACCGCACAACGGTGGCCGTTTCTGCGATAGCGCACATGACGGACTTTTCCGGAACTTCACACTGACGATCAATGGTGTGCTGGATCGCAGCAGCTAAACGCCTTGCTCCTTCAGCAAGCTGTGCAGGCTGCAGCCTCGCAAAGCACAGGCGCAAGAAGTTGTCTTCACTGCATGCGTCCAAGGTGAACAGGTGGCCGGGCTTGGCAAGAAAACCGAACTCGTCAGGTCTTGATGCAAGCTCACGAGCATCCACATGCTGCGGAAGCTTGACCCACACAAAGTAGCCACCATTAGGGTTGGTCACTGCGCAGTCTTCCGGCAGCATAGACTTTAAGCTTCCAACCAAGGACCGACAACGTTCCTGGAAGTTCTTTCGAAGCTGCTCCAGATGTGAATCCAACGCTCGGGACTTCATGGCGGCGGCAACAACGCAGGAGGCGAAGTGGCTCAGGTGGCCACCGCTGTCGATGACACCCCATTTGCTCAATCGTTTCAGCTGCTCCGGAGAGCCCTCTATCCAACCTACCCGGAGCCCTGGCGCCAAGATCTTTGAGAAACTTCCCAGAGACAGTACATTCTCGCCAAGACTGGCCATCGTGGTCGGTGGGGACACACCGTATGTAAGGAGGGTGTAAACCTCGTCAGCAATCACAAGAATCTCGTGGTCTCGGGCAACACCAACAATAGCTTCGCGTCTCTCTGCTGGCATGGTGCGTCCTGTGGGATTGTGATGAACTGGGATCGTGTAGAGCATAGCAACTCTTCGGCCCCTCAGCCGGAGCTTTTGCAAGGCATCCAGCAGGGACTGGATCACCATTCCGTCAGAGTCAGTGTCCACTCCAACAACTTCGAGCCCATGATCCCGAAAAATGGCGGGTGCCAGGAAATAGGTGGGGCTCTCAACTAGGACCACGTCCCCTAATCTATGACCGGCGCACATCGTACTCAGCATGTCAAGCGCTTGTGACACCCCGGCGGTTAGGAAGAGATGCCCAGGATCAGGGCTTCGGCATCGAGAGGAGTCTTGCCGCCTGAGGAACTCCGACAGCTCGTATCGGAATTCCCAGGTGAAATCGCCGTACTCCAAAGGACCCTGCTGATCAACATGACTCAGTATGACACCGCGATTGCTCTAAAAGCAAAGAAGTGCTGTGCAGAGCCAGGAAACTGAGCTTGGGTAACTTGAAGCGGTGCTAAGCGCCCCAAGCCGTTGGCGCTTGGGTGCCCCGAGGACTCCAGAACCGTCGGTGAAGAGGTCTTGACAAGCCTGCTGCTGGCGCAGCGAACCCAGAGGTAGGTGTCACAGATCTACCAGTAGCTACGCCCCCCCACCCCCTCCTAAAGCCCACAAAGCCAGGCAGAGCCTGCCGCACGACTTCGTTCGGCAGCTCTTCGGCCGCAGGCTGCCCATTGGCGAAGTCGATGGGAGTCTCCATCCGGGTAGTCTGCTCTCTGGGTCTGAGCTCGCAGAGCTGCCCGCTTGAATTCGAGCGAGAGTGTCCTTGGCACCTCGAGCCCATGCCTTTCGCGGAATCACCGTCAGCTTCCCAAAACCGACTCAACACTTCGGAACTTTGCTTTAGGATCTTCTGCACTTGCACAAACCTCGAGGAGATTCTTCCGGCTTTGGGGCTTAGGGGCATCCTTCTCTTTTCACAGAGCCCGGAAGTCTCTGCAGCTCGACTGGAGTCCCTGGGCCTCCGTACTAAGCCTGACTACATGCACGATACGACGTCGCAGATGAATGTTCCGTGAGAGGCTTTCCTGCGCTCTCCGTCGGGTTGCAAATGGCCACGATTACCTCGGACATCAATTTGGCGAATGGTCATCTGAGGATCATCAGGCCGACTGAGCCCGAAGCGCCAGCAGCAAGGCATGTAGATCCCAGTATTTGCAACCACATGAAAGCTGGCAAGGAGGACAGGCACTGTGCCGACACCTGCAGGCATCGCTAGCGCTGCAGCATCAGCAAGTATCTCGGGGGCACATGGCTGACGAAAACGCTCTTTCATTACGTCGTCCTTGAGCGTGATGACCGCAGAGGAGTGCATCACAACCCTTGACAGAGAAAGCGCCGCTGCCCGAAGAGATGTGGGGAATGCCTTCAAGCTTTTGGCGCTTCCAGCCGCTGTGCACTCTGCACTCTTTCAGTTTGCAACCATGCAGCCTCCAGAGACCACATGACAGCTGCCTGGCGTCTTTGAGCTTTGAACTACTTGGGATTGAGCAGCAGCCCTTCAGCCTCCCACGCAAAACCACGGCAAGAAGCAGAGATCCTCATTGGTCGGGACAACAGTTACTAGTTACTAGTTCCAACTGACATTCAACTCACTCACAAGGCGGCTCGCCTCACCTGTATCCCTGCCTGTCAAGGCTCGCTCCCAAGATCGACTGCAAGTAGAGACACGCATCGTCACTCTTTAAGGAATGAGTTCCTGTCAGAGCAGACAGCACCGAGCTCATGAGTCGCCTAGGTGTGGCATCGGCTGTACACATGAGGGAAAGCCATGAGCTCGCCTGCCAGGCACAGGAGCAGAGTCCCCTGAAAGCCGAAGCCTTTCTGCAGCACACATCTCAAAGCCCTCCAGCCACGTGACAAGCGGCTTCAAAATTCGTTCGCGAGCCTACGAAAAAGCTTCCCTTTCTGCCGATAAAGTCCACCACTAGGATTGAGACAACCTCAGAGAGGCCAAGAGCTTCCGTTTCTCCATTTCAGTCTAAGGCGGCTAAGGTCAAGTCCAGCCCACAGAGGTCCCCCAAGTTGAAGATCATCAAAAGCATCCGAGGCAGAGCCTCAGAAAGCTTCTCTGTAGAGAGAGAATCGGGCAACGGACACTTACAAGACGAGCTGCATTGTCCTCCGGAAACATGAGATTCTGAAACAGCATTGGCCCCCAGGTGTCGATCAGGCAAGTCGTCATCGAAAGAAGGGAAAATAGAATCCTGACATTGCTACATCCTGTCCGGCAAGAGTCTACATCATGGTCCTGGCAGCTACCATGCCCTGGCTGGGCTTGTTCAGGCCTTACTCTAGGCCAGCCGTTACACAAGAGCAGCCTGGCTTTCTTTCCCAGGCGCAGGGAGAAGCGCATCTTGGCAAAGTACTCGGCTGAGAAAAGCTCGTACCAGCTCCTGGGCGGCCGCAGCTTCGTCGGGTCCACGTGGCTATTCACACGCGGTCCCTGTTGTCGGACTTGACTTCACAATCTCTCGAGATCAAACTGTGCGGGGTTGCTGGAAGGTTTGCTGGCTTACCTTGTATTGAATTGTATTGTCTCTCTTTTGACTGTCGGGTCCCTTCGCAAAAGCGGCCATGCTGAGAACCATTGTGAAAGCAAGACGTCTGGAGAGTAAACGGACCATCAGGGACCAAAACGTAGCACAGAGAATGGCGGCGAGAGCAGAAAAGGAGAGGGCACTCCAGACTGGCAGTGGTTTATCGCGCCCATGCAGTCTGCATCTATGATGATCGCTTACTCTTCCAAAGCTTTTATCACACCTGTCAACACCTCTGTCCTCTCATCTGTCAAGGACGTGTGGTCCAGGCAAAGCCGGCAATCAGACGACCAGCGCGCACCACTTCTGCGATGGATATCGGAGAGCACAGCTTTGGCCTGCCAGACTTCAACCCGTCCTGAAGAGCGTTTCTACCCTGCCCCGCTGTGCATGGCCAAATACAGACGGGTGCCTCCTCGATCCTGCCAGTAGCTACCAAATATCGAGGCGACTCGTGGATCAGAGTCGTGCTCAACAATAGGACTCCCATCGCCACAGCAGCTAGCAGCAGCAGCTTTTGCCAATCCTCGACTGCAGGTAGAGACGTTTTACAAGCTGGGCTCTTCAAAGGGGCGGTACAGCACATGGAACGGAAGTTCGGTTGCCATTCTGTCGCTTGGCATCACAATACTGCTAAGGTAGCAACATCATTGAAGAAGTCAGAGCTTACGATGACCGCAGCTCGTCCTGGCGTGGTCTGTAATAGCGCAGTACTTCTAAAGCAACTGTCAGCTGCAAAACTCAGAAGGGCATGCAGCGAATTGCGCAAGCTTCCGCAAACAGGCTTTCAGCCTCCAGCCTGCAAGGCCGGAACGGCAAGATTCCGAGCGCTTGGAAGACCCCAGTCCTGCAGGCCACCCTAGCGTGATGGCAGCAAGCATCGCCCCACGTGCAGTCGTTGGAAGGAACCTCTGGGCAATGCAACCATGAGGGCCGCCATCAGAATTGACAAGATCTGTGAAACAGGCTTTAACCGTTAACCATGAACAAACATCTGGCTTCACAACACTTCAACCTGAAGTCAGCCCGTCCCCTGCAGACTCAATCCTTGCTAATGACCGGCCGGTGTGCTCAACATACCAGGGGCCCAAAGCTGCGTAAGCAATCGCCCAGCTTGAGGAGCTCAGCGTTCGCAGAATAAGAATCCTCGGTTCTATCAGAGCAGAGCCCCGCCCCGAGTCCAACAAACCCATCCCTGCTTGAGCTGTGCTTTCCTTATTCTCTTTCAGGCCTTCTGACGCAACACCCACTTGAGCGCAAACCTTCCGCCAATACTTCTACAGCCGTCCCGTTCTCGACGCGTTGGCATATGTTTCTCTCCAATGCATCAGCTTCTGTATTCTTTGCTTCCGCGCCCTTCCGCACAGCAACCGCCTTCCGCATCCCAGAGATATTGCTAGATCCATGAAAGTTTTGTCAAGAGACGGACACTAACGCTTCTCGCCTGGCTTCTTGAAACATCTTGAAACACATCATATGGCAAAGCTATGCCCAGGAGCATATTGAACGAAGTTGCAAATGCAGAACCATAGTTCAGAAGCGTCGTCACGATTGCGCCGAAAACCAGAGTAGGCTTTCGGCCCAGCTTGTCGACCAGTACTGGTGCGACCAGTGCTCCGAATGCACATCCTGCCTGAAATGCAGCTGCGTAGGTGGACAGCTCCTCCTTGTCTGCACCTAGCTTTTTCCGTTGGAAGTGTGTGCAAACTACTGTTCTCGCAGCATCGCACATTGCTGCTTGCAGACATGCAGGTGTCTCCACTGAGGTATCTACCGAAATGTATCTGTAGGCCTGGAAACATGTACGGGGTCAGCTCACAGTGGATGGCGAAGAGTGCCACAGCAGCAGCTGTCCAGAGGACGTGGCCAATATGAAAAGAGCTCAAGGGCAGCTCATCCAAGACCTGGCCAATTGGTAAAGATGCTCCATCGCAGGAGCTGTAGCCCTTGTGCATTGACCTGCGTGCAGCCACCCACTCAAGAGCGCAGTGCAGGATCCTAAGACAGGGGGAGCCGATTCCGATCCCACCTGACGTAGAAGTAGAGCCGTGAAGCACGAAGCCATGGCCCAGCTTGAGCCGGTGCAGCGGGCAGGAAACGAAAACCTCGCTCGGGGGAAAAGACTCACTCTGGCAAACCCTGCCTGCAGTCCTGGATATTTAATTGATGCATCCTGCAAAGCCGACCATGCTCGTTTTCGCCCTGCACCGAGGCTCATCCACGACGCGACGAGCCTTTGGCACGAATGAAATCGAGCGTCTCCTGCTTGGTGGCATTCCACGAAACGGGCATCTCGTCAACGAGATAGTGATACTTCGGCGAGAAGTGGAGAAGATATACGATCTTCTGAACTTCATCTCGCTTGAAGTTGTCCTGATCTTCCTTGATGTAGTTCAGGCAGGAAGCAGTGAGTTCACCAAAGTCTTGCCCGGCATCTGGTCTATCCTCGAGGACTTCTCCGTGTATACATCCAAGCAAGAAGAGGAGGAACTCCTGCCGGCCCATGTCGGGCAAGGTGGGCTGCAGGTTGCCGGCCACCCGACGGAGGAACTGCTGCTCCTCGGGGAGTGCCTGCGCCATGCGTGCGAAGTCCCCTGCCTTGAACTCGGCCGCTGCACCGCGGACCAGCGGCAGCAGGGCGTCCTTCACCAAGGCCCAGGTCTCCGGCCCTTGGAGTCGGTAGACCCAGACGAGCCGGCCCATGTAGCCGGGGGTTAAGTCCTTGACCTTGTGGGGGGTCGAGACGTCCTCTGCAACTCGCTTCAGGAGCCCCTGATGGTTGATCTTCATCTGCGTCAATGCCCACACGTTGTTGATGGCATGGAGCAAGGACACATCATTGTAACGTCTCTCAATCTCGGGCACAAGCGTCATAAGAATATCCATATCCGCGCTCGCCTCGCTGGACTGTGCCATGGAGACCAACATCTCTGAGAGCTCCACACCTTCATAGGTCGCAAGGAGCTCTTTCAATCTAGGAATCACCTTCGACAGTAAATCGTGGTGTTTGGAGGCTCGCTTGTTGTAGATCCGGACAATTCCCATGAAGTTCAAAGCCGTGAAATCATCCATCTTCTCCAGAATTCGCTGTTCCAGCATCTCAAAAAGCTCGTCGTCGTCGGGCGTCATGATCCACATTGGGCCAAGGCAGTCGACCACATCTATGGCCTCAAATCCCTTAATGCGGAACTTCATTGTGTCCGCCAACTTCTGACACAGGGCTCGCTGTCGCACGTCTTGTTTGGCATATGCCTTCGCGATCTGTGCGAGCTCAGCGGGAGTGTAGATGTGAATGTTGTCTAGCAGCTGGCTCTCCAGATGCGGTACCAGTGTGTTCTCAATGTAGTCTTCTGACAAACGCTTCGAGAGGACTACCGACTTGGCTGAGCCCTCTGTTTTGTCGGGATCGTCGTCTTTGGAGGAGAACATCCTGGCCGATGCCCACGGAAAATCTGTCCTTCGAGGAGCGCATGATGGCACCCGTGGTGCCCGTCGGGCTGCGAGGCACGAGAGCCGCGAGAGCCGCGACAGTCCGGGAAACATGGCACGGTCCGCGTGGTCGCGTGGTCCCTTTTTGTCGCTGCCTGCTCGGTGTTCTCTGACTACTTCGTTGACATTGACAAGCTGTTAGAGGCAAGAGCATTGATCTTCTTGCCAGGTTCCGGGTAAACTAATACATCGTTGAAGGATGTGCAGGTCCTATGCTCCCAAGTCACAGTTCGAACACTCTCAAGCTGAAGGCCCATGGCACAAGATGTGCTCTTGCCAGAACTCATTGCTCAAGGAGCTTTGAAAGGATGACTGCGACTTTGAGGGCTTCACGACCGTTGGAAGCAGGCCACGGGGGGGCGCTTCCGCCTGCCACGCGGACTATCGCGAGTCTTCTTCAAACACCCTGGCTCTCACCGAACGTAACGGCGCCTCCCAGAGCCGCAAAGCCTGGGAGCGGGAGCACGGCAAAGCTGGGCACAAGCTGTCGCAATGCCATGGCCTCCGCCCAAGCGAGGCGCTCCGCGTAGGCCGCCAACGCCGCTTGGCACATACCCAAGTCAGACCTCACACTAAATAACGACTCAGGATACTACACTCGGCAGCACAAGCCTCATGTCACCAAGCTCACAGCTTGACTTCTTTCCTCCGGGCTTGCTCGAGCAACACACTGACCTGCAATGGCTCACATTTACATCGCTGATAGCACAGCGACGCTCACGCAACATGGTGCTCTGCGGTGCCTGCAGCCACTGTGCAGTCCTGCCGCACGCGAGAATGGCGGCCGTGAATGTCGCGGTGTTGAGAGCCTCAGCGCAGGAAGCGTGAAACGATGTGAAACGAGCTGCGGCGTCTCGCTTTCGCTGACGCAGGTTTCACGGCCTCTTGGGGCCCGGGCCGCCTTCGGGTCCATCTTGCACATGTCGGCAAGGAGCTCGAGAGCATCCTCCGCCAGCGGGCATCCCACTGCGATATATGGAAGATGGGCCAGGCCACGTGGCGCTGCCCGCTTTGCCCTGGGCATGTCCTGCCAGCTGCTGGCATCGCCCAAAGTTCGGATGACTTGCGCATACCTTGAATTTTGCCAAGCGTTGAAGCACCAGGTCCAGACAGAATCCAAAAGCCGTCTCCGCTGAGCGCCCTGCGGTGCCTCCTCGCCGGGAGCTGCGAAGGCACGGCACATGCCTCGACACAGGAGGCACCGGCCGCAAGAGTGCCCTATGCAACGAAGCCCGCAGCCTGAAGATACCACTATGAGGCACACTGCGGAGACCTGAGAGAGCCAGTGTTGCTGCATTCCAGCACAGTCAATCAATCCCTCTGGGGCATGCGCTGGGAAGAGCAGCTTGAGGAAGCACGCCTTCCTGCTGTTCGTGGTTCTAGTTAATCTGCTTTGCGCCAAGATGTCCTGAGGCAGCCACCTGAAGCCCAGCCTCTGTTTCCAAAGTCGCCACATTCACCTCAGCGGTACTGAGAACCCTTGTCTTGGAGACGGGAAACGCAAGCGGCTTATGCAAATGCAAGCAAGCAGCAGCCGGCAACACCATGGGAGCCCGCGACGCGCCAAGGCAAGACATGTGATCTGCACATTCAGTACATGTTTGGAAAGCCTTCAAGGTTAGTCGCATGGACTCCGCAGCTACCCGCTCAAGATTAGGATACAAGTGGAGTAAGCTGCAACGGTCCAACTGGATAGTTTGTTGGAACTTGTGCCTCGCTACTTTCTGGGTATTTTGGTAGGGTGGGCAAACCGACTCAAGTCATGAGCCAGCTTATCGGCGACGTGCGAAGGCGTGTAGAGGGGCGAAGGTACCTAGGTACGTACATCCGTACATACACCTGTTTACTGTTGTGGTTTTGCATCACACTTTCTCTCTATACTGATGGTACACCACGCGCCTCCACGCGCCAGTGACACACGTCTGGAGCTAGAGCGAAAGAGCGAGAGCGAGAGAGAGACAGAGAGAAAGACACAGAGGGACAGAGAGACAGACCGAGAGAGAGAGAGAGAGAGAGAGAGAGAGCGACTTAGAGAGAGCGAGAGAGCGAGAGAGCGAGAGAGCGAGAGAGCGAGAGCCAGAGCGAGAGCCAGAGCGAGAGCGAGGGAGCGAGGGAGGGTACACTGCAAGCCTGCCCCTCCCATCTCTTTTGGCCACCGCAAGGAGCACGTGCGAGCCAAGCACCCTTCTTCGAGGGCAGAGTCCGCGGAGTGCGACCCGAGTTTCCGGGTGCCCTTGCAGCAGCCAGAGATGCTTTATCAGTGTATCAGAGTGTATGGAAGTCTGTTTACCTCTGTGGAATTGCAATGCAAGCCTGCTCAAGCCGGCTATTGCTGCGCTGGTCCGAGTGCGACCGTTGTGTATGCAAGGCCAGGAAGAGTCACTTTGTACATCAGGTGGCATGTGCGGGTCATGAAATTCACGAACAAATGCGGCCACGTGTGCTGCGCCCGGCCAGCCGCATTTGATGTGTAGCCGCAGCACATCACGCCCCATCTGCTGGCCAAAGCCATTTCACAAACTCGTCCACATCAATAGCGCCATCCTGCAAACAACATGACCCGGCAAGGTAGAAAACTTATCTCTCCGGAGCTACCTGTTCAATTGCAGATAGCTGATGACATCAAGCTCCTTGTTGAGATCTGCTTGTGAGAAAAGTCGACGCATGCTTTCCGGCGTGATTTTGGGATTGAGAGTCTTCAAAACCGCGGTCATCTCATCTTCGCTGATTCTGCCATCAAGATTTGCATCCTGGCGACGCAGGGCAGGCACAGTGCAAAGTTCCGATCAAGACCCCTCTCGAATTCCAGAGCTGATATGAATGCTGGCAAGATTCCCATTCTTGAAGGGCTTTCTGGACCTCGACGATCAGGAAACTAGGAAAGTCAAACGAAACCCCCTTGGCTCTCGCTCATCTCGACTGTCATGTTGTATGTGGGTGCCGCACCTTGCCGATGCTGACCTCACTCACCCTCTCCTGAGTGCACTTCACATCGCGCTGCTTTCGCCAGAAAGGGACCGAGCTGTGATGCGCTTTGTCTGCACTCTGTGTATACTGCGCGGCGAGCGGCTCCACCCATCATACGGCGGAGCTGATTCACGGTCTGACACCACATCGAACGCTGACCCTACCCTCCCAGCAGAAATAGAGCTCTTTCAGTGCATGTCCGGAGGCCTCCTCTTCGCTGACACCAACGCGGCCGAAGCATTTGTGGGTCTGCTGCTGCTCGGTGGCTACGGCGAAGTAGGCATCCCGCTCGTCCTGGTTCGGGTACTAGCCGCCAGATAGCACCGGTCCACAAATGTTCTCAGGGCCCGGCAGCAAGTGTGGGAGACTCACTGAAGAGATACACGAAGCAACCGTTCGGAGGTGCCTCAACCAGCATGTGTGTCGTTCTGTGGCAACTTGTCTGGCTTAACTGGTCGCAAAGGCTCTCCCGAGTAATGAGGCCCGCACCTGCCAGGTGTCGCCGCCGAGGACTTCCTCCAAGAGATTCGCAGCACATGACATGCTGCCTGTGCTCTTCACTGTGCATAGGAGGCATCATGTTGCACGATATTGTACGATGGTCTGCTCTGCTGGCTGACAGCTTCTCAAAACCCAGAGCACTCAGTAGAGCACCGGATTAGGTCTCCTGTTGCTCCAGCAGTGATGGCACAGGCAATCTCCGACACAGGGGGTCGGGGTGGGCTGTGGAGTAGAGCATCTGCTAAACCCGCTACACGGAAACCAGAAGTTGCCCAGGCCTTGCATGGAGGCTGCAGCACTTCCCCACCATTTACCCAAGCAAAGTAGCGCCCTCCTGAAATCGCACAGCACTAAAGGTATCAGCTTTTCTGGCGGGTTTGCTAATCAATCCAATACCACAACCTGAATTCGGAGAGGTCCAAGCAGACAGAGTTGAACAAATCCTTGAAAAGCTTTGCTAAGCTCGGAGAACTCTTGGAAGGAGTTCGCAAATCATTCATAGGACTTATGAATGCCCTTGTACATGCACCTGGCCACCTGACTTGAATGTACACTCATCTGAGTTGGTTCGAGCACTAGGAAACCTTGTGGCACCAGTACTAGGGCTCTTTGGATCGTATTATTGGTAAATGTTCGACTCGAAGTACCGCAGGGCTTGCCATCTCTGCTGTGAAGGAAGCACGGCAATGGAATCTGTGCACCGGGTTCCATGATGCAAAAACTTACATCCCCCGAGCCGCCGCTCGGGTTGTGGATTTTCCGGGATTTGAGGCTTGGGGTCTGGAGGTTTAGTGTATGGTGTGCCTTTCGGGGGTCAGCCCAGTTTCGAACCCAAGGTTGCAGGGTGAGCACAGGCTTTGGCAGCTTTGGCGGAAACCTTTGAAGCGAACCGCCCCAAATACAGCCCCCTCTCACAACTTCGCCCGTCGCTTTGAGTCTTCCGACGATGCTTGGAGAGTCAAGTCAACTTAGCACATACGAAGCAGGATCAAACTGTTGGGGGGTATTCCGAGCCTACAGAGCCTGGCTTTTTCTTTAGCAGGCTTCAGTTTTCAGAAGGATCCTGAAATGGTACATTGCATAAGCAGGATGCAGTGGATGCCTGCAAAGACCATATGAAGTTCCACTGTCCACTACAAGTAGCAACGGCCGCCGGACACACTACGAGTACTGCAGGATAGAATGATCGGCAAACAAATCTCTGCGAAGTCTGCGTCCTTTATCGAGGATGTAGGGCACGGTGACGCGCACCCAGCGGCCCTCCAGTGCTCCGGAGAAGCGGTGGTCCCAAGACCGTCCGGGGTCGAAGACCAGGCCATTCCCAAGGGAGATGGCACACCTCAAAGAAAAAGCAAAGCCAGACGCTTTTTTCAAGTCTATCAATGTAGATTCAGATTCTAACGCGAGTTTATCTTCGCGGGCAGCCAGTGAAGGTTGTTGCAGTCTCAACCGCGAAGCAGGTGTTCTGCCAGCGGTTATTCCAGACACCGAGTTTGGCATAGGTCAAGAGCCTCTCAAGCCACCAATAATCTATGTCAACAGGCTGTTGCTGGAATGTAGGGCAGGGTTTTGGGTTTAGAGTTTAGAACTTGGTGGGAAGGCACAAACCTTTGGCTATCTCGGCAAGTGCTCAAAGTGTGGAAAGGGTGCTATCACGACGAGTATTGAGTCCAAGCTGGCTGCATTTCTCAGCCAAGCCCGGATCCAGAGCTGGATCCCAAGCACGCCGGCAAAGGCTGCAACCGGAACCAGGATCGTGAGCTCTGTGACGGGCTACGCACTTGAAATGGTAAGGATGGTGACAGCCAGGCCACAAAAACTGTTCTGCCAAACCTTGCTCAAATGGATTAATTGCCTCCATGCAGATCGGGCATTGCATGCCACCTGGGCCTGCTCTGATTGTGGAATCCAGAGCTGGATCCCAAGCACGTCGGCAAAGGCTGCAACCGGAACCAGGATTCTCAGCTCTTTGACGGGCTATGCACTTAAAATGGTAAGGATGTTCACAGCCAGGCCACAGAAACTGTTGTTCTTCACCTTGTTCCATTGGGTGAATTGCCTCCATGCAAATCGGGCATTGAGTGCAACCTGGGCCTGCTCTGATTCTGGAATCCAGAGCTGGATCCCAGGCACGTCCGCAGCGGCTGCAACCGGAACGAGGATCGCAATCTCTTTGACGGGCTATGCACTTGAAATGGTAAGGATGTTCACAGCCAGGCCACAGAAACTGTTGTTCTTCACCTTGTTCCATTGGGTTAATAGCCTTCAAGCAAAATATGCAGATTGGGCAGTTCTTCCGGCTGTGCCTCCTCTCAGTCGTTGATGACTGCAAGCGCTCCCACAATGCTCCACCTCTTGTGTTCAAGGCGTTGTAGACCTCTGAGCTGTAGAGAGCGCCCAAGGCTTGTCGGCAAGAGCAGATCTTCCCCCTTCGAGCAAACGGTGGAAAGTATCTACCAGCTTCACAAGTGCATGCCTGAGAGCATTCGCACGGTTTCAGGGCCTTCGGAGGAAACTTGGCCCTTTCACAAAAGCAAACACCCTGCTCGGAAACCCATCCCTGGTGTGGCACCGGCAGCAAACCCCGATGCGCACCGCGGCCCGTGTCTTCTGCTTGGGGCATCGAGGGCAGAGATGCGCACTTTTCCAGCTTCCGCACGCGATCCTTGGAGGTGGTGGATGTTGTGGATTTTGATGAGCTCAGTCTGCTTGGCGAACAGCGTGATTTCACGTCCATGCCTGCTGTGGACTTTGATGTGCTCAGCATGCTTGGCCGACGGTCTGGTTCAAGTCCATGACGGCTCCAGCAGTATCTAGTCAACGAGTTGTCATGACTATTTCTGCAAGCTGGGTGGTAGGGACGCTGTTGCCGTAACCATATTCGAACGATGTTGCGAATATGTGCTTGGGCCTGGACCAATGTCGGGAACTGCGTGGCAGGGCTGCTGATTCAGGGCCAAAAAGAGATATCATGCCCAGCCCTATCTTTGGGGCTTCGGGTTTAGTTGTGGGGTTCAGAGGTTCAGATTTTGATGGATTAAAGGTTTTAAGGTGTTTTTCCGGCTCCTTAAAAAGGAAGGTACTTTCAGCTGCCATGGGATATGTGATAACCAATCAAGCTTCCATGCCATGATGAGTCAAGTTCCCTCACAGGCACCCGGTCTTTAGAGGGGCACGGGCCGGGCATGGGGTGTAGTCCGCGATGGCTCCTGGAGCGCGAATTAAGTGGCATGCATCTGAAGCACGGAGGTCCGATTAATCAATGTCCGGGATTGCCCACTTTCCAGCATCCCGTTGAGTACACTCTTTTCCTTACATATTTTTTCAAAGCCAAAAGCCGCTGAGCGCAACAACCCCTTGGCCCTCCGAGTAGGGGAGAAATTGGTGCCCCAATACGATGGCCTATATTGTCGCCTCCCTAAACACCAAACCCGAGGAAGAAGCATCATTTCCTTGTTGGAGGTCGGCTTCTCTGCTGCGGAGATGGATGAAACTAGACAGTTCCCATGATTTCGGCTTTACCGACCTTTATCGAAACGAGCATAGTCTCAAGGGCCTGTTTTCTTCGGCTCCAGCCTAACTTAGGCGGGTTGAAAGCTGAATCAGGGTTTAGGGTTTAGGGCTTTTAGGGCTTAGGGCGTTAAATGGGTTTTCCAAGGCTTACCCGTGTTGAGCTGGTACACTGTTTACAGAAAGCGAGTTTCTTGCTCCGGATTTGCTCCACTTCGTCTCCTGAATGCTTTGTGTTGAACTGGCACCAGTTGACATAGAACAAGAGACGCAAGCCGCGGGCAGGGCCATGTGTGCGATCCCGGGTGCATTGCCACCACTCTGCCGCGCTTATCGAAGTAGATGTAGCCGCCATACACGAAGAAGGCTGAGCTTGGCGTGGTAATCGAAAAGTAAGCCAGGGCCTTCAACAGAACAGCAAAGGAAGGCACAGGCGAAGCGCTTTGTATGTGCTTGTACAGGCACTGCCTGCTCTGACCACTTTCCTCCACCCACTGGATAGGCCCAGCAGAACCTCGGAAAACGAGAGCTGCGCCTCGCGATCAGACACCGCCCCTTTCAGACTCATGTTGAAACCATTACCTGTGCCGACGTACCTGCCTTGCCTGCTCCTGGACCCCGTCGTGGGCAGTTGGGAGAAGGGGGGAGGGGGCGGGAGGGCTTATCATCCTTGCGTGACTTTCATCTCACTTCGAGCTGCGCAGCCGCTCCTTTACGCCTGGCTCAGCGGCGCCACACCCTACCCCACATATGGATCATTTCATCCTGTTGTGTATGCAATTCCTTCCTGTCTGGGGCACTCGGTGCGAAAATCATCATCCCATCTTCGCTTTCATCCTCATCACCATCATCGATTTCACTTGACAGGACTCGGCCAACTCAGGCGCATCAGGAGGTACAGGTACACGAGGACGTATGTACAAAGGTGGGCTAACAAGCAGAAGTGTTTCGGGAGTGAGCCACCGGGCCAAGGTCTCAGAGTGCAGCACAGGCACTGCACGGCCTCTACAGGGATGCCCAGCATCTTCTTAACCTGGGCTGAAACCAGCATTAATGTGGGGGCCATGGGAGACTGCAAAGTAATGTAGCACAGCGTGCCTCGTCAGACAAGGTCATAGGTGATGGTGTGGCAATCGTACCTTTCAACATGTCCGCCGGCAAGGTGGAACTTGCTCAGCAATTCCGTGTCTCGCGTCTTCTTGTCAAGCTCTCGCCCCTCTTGTCTCGAAGCTGGCAGGTAGGTAGGGGGATCCACTGCTGTTGCGGGTGGCGACCGTAACTATCATCGACCCCCCCCTCCACCAAGTCTCATCTCGTCCCTTTTCTTTCTTTCTCCCAAGCGGTAGCTGCATGCCTGAGGCAGACATGCCGTTGGCTTCCAACTGGCGGATCTCTTCCAGCGGAGCTTTGGCCTCGCGGGTCCCACGTTGCCTCACGGAGTTCGACTCTCGGTCTCACCAGCCTTGTAAGTTCTCTTTTCCTCGGCTGCAGTTCTCTGCACTCACACCGAAGCCTTTCATAACACGAAGCTGCTCGCCCATTCGAAACGGGTAGAGCTACAGTACCCAGCTCCTTGCTTGTGCCGGGCCGCCCGGTCGACAAAGAGAGCAAGTTTTCGGCAGCGGACCAAGGCGAATGGCCCGAGCGTCTTTGGAAAACCGTACTTGAGCATCTCCTTCGGCATCTGTGCAAAACATGAGGTGACATAGCCTCATGAAAGCAACGGCAACGTCCTTCTCTCCGACCGGGTTGTATGGAACGAAGCCTGCACTTGCACACAGAGAAGAGTGCAGAGCTTAAGTAGTTGGGAAACCTCAGCCCCTCTGCCCTCGAAGCCAGCCTGGCAGAAGCGCAGCCGTGGGAACCTAAGTACTCATAGTTTGACTTCAATGAGTTGTTGTTTGATTCTTTAAATCAAAGGTTCAGCTCAGGCTTCGGCGACAGTCACGCCCGCGGCCTTCAGCTTCTGCTGGATCGACGCTGGGTCGGTCAAGAAGCCGGTGCCGAACTGACAGCACGTCTGCGCTTGCATTGCTTGCATGCGATCGGAGATAAAAGCCAGAGCCAGAGGGCTCAGACTCTATCAACATCCAAAGCCCGCCTTTCCCATGCTGGGGAGGTGAGCTGCTCGGGAAGCATCCATGACCATGTGAATATGCCTGGCGAAAACAAATCCATGGCATTGCACCGATGGCGTGTCCGATGCAGCAACGTCGACATAAATCTTAGCATGGCAGATGCCCGACACCGCATTTCCACAGTACGAAAACCCACAAATCATGGCGATCCGCACTTGCAACTGTGACGACAATCCGAGGCACCGAAACCCGGCGCTGACTGCATTGATAGCAGTATCGAGCACACATAGATCCATTGACAACCTCGCAGCTTCAATTCGTACGAAACGCAGCTCCAAGCCTCTGACAAACTCCCGAAGATGAAAACACCCTGGCTGCTTCCAAGAGACCCACATACAAAGATGCGGTTCCTGGGTCAGGCAGGAAGACGTGATGACGCTTCACAGCACCTGTGTTCGCCAGTTGATTCCCACGGCTGCGGGCTAGCAAATCTCTTTTGATACTACCGCGGCGTTTGAGCGTTCTCGCTTATGTTGAACCCAGTGCTCCACGTTGATCATGCAATTGGTAGGTGGCACCAATTGCGTGCTTCAGGTTTGGCTTTCTTGGGCCTGCTTGGCCGGTCCAGGGGGGGCAAGGTCGCAAGTGACGAGATTTAGGGCCGATGATCTGCGACAGCATGGGCCAACCCCTTCCGCTTGCGCTACTTCGACCCCCGAAGCGACTCGAACTTGTGGCCCAGGAGTCATAGCTCAGAGGCTCGGCTCATCGGAGGAAGTCGACAAACAGAACAACTGGCTCAGCGGCCATGAAGACATCTTGGGATCTGCATTGAGTTTCTTGCAGCTGGATGCAGACCATGCAGCTCGGGACGGAACAAAGAAAGCTGGCGACAGATCAATCAGAAAGCCCGGACACCAAACTTAGAAAACCGGAGTGCAAGCAAACATGTACGCGACAGGGATCCAGACCAAAAGTTACTGCTGAAACATGCCTGGCTTTCTGTTGTCGCAACGTGTACACGTCTTCACACAGGTTCCGTTTCGGGTTGAAGACTGACGGAGCAGCCCCAGAAGCTCCAAAACATCAAACGGTCATGTGTATACTAATCGCGGAGGAGCATCGTCCCACGGTGCCTAAGCCAAGATTTCAGAGATTCACGTCTTAGTACGGACATGATGTCCGGAGGCGCATTGACGTCGGTGGCCTGCTCAGGGGGGCAGCGCTCGCTAAGTCTTCCGGCTCGAAGGCTCTCCGATGACGGTACGCAAAAACATAATCGCCTGATTTGAGCTGTCAAGCAGAACTGCTCCAGTCCATGACGCGAGTGGATAACCATGCAGCATCCTCTCGTTGGGCTCAGCCGCATGGGAGATTCGCTCCTTACAGAAGGGGCACCCATCTTCCAGCAAAAGCTCATGCTCTCTTCAGCCATCGGGCCCACGAGCTCTGCTCATCTGGATACTCAAAGGAGCCAAGGGAGTCCACATCCTGTGGGGAGATGGGACCACAAGCAGGAGCAGGAGGGAACAAGCAACCAGATCCTCATGAAAGCCTTTGAAGGCAATCTTCACCTGATAGCAGTAGTTGATGCCAGCATCAAAGGGCGACACTTTGGAAATCCCTCTTGGTTCATCCAGGTCACCTGGTCCTTGTACGGAGCGTCCCCGCTGTATAACTTCTGTATGCAGGCAGCTATCGGCTCATAGAAAAAGGAGCCAACTGTGCCCTGCACACAATGGGGAGGAAAAGGGCCCTGCTGTCGTATGAAGGAGCAATGCTGCTTCGGGTGGTAAGATCCTTGGTTCGACCCATTGAAAGAACATGAAACAAGCCGCTTCAAAGCGCCGCTTACATACAACCGAGTTGCTCGTGAGAACGACCTCCCCACCACCTGTCAGCGAAAGCCCAGTTAGCACAGTCTTGGGTCAAGACCAGCTTCACGGGATGCTGCTCACGGGACGCGTGTAGGCTCCACGCAGGTTGCAAAATGTTCAACGAGCCGAACAATCTGAGGACAGATGGTACTCCCCTCTGCCACTGCGAAGGCACCTGAAAGCAAAAGTCCGACCATGCTCATGCTAATACAGCTGTTGCAGCTGCTTTCAACCAGAAAGTGGCTGCCTCCTTGCGGATTCAGCTGATCGATCTCGACGAAGTCATTCCTCAATCTCGCAGCGCTCCCTTCGACCAGCGGTGTCCGATGGTGTCTGTAGCAATACGGATGCTGACGTGACGTCGTGACGACATTGACGCCGTGAGCCGCTGTGGACTCCTGTGTTCTTTTGCTTGCTCCTCGAATTTCACGCAGAAACTTCCGTCGTGTCGTCTTCAAGCTTAGCTTCCAAATTAGTGCTGGGATTTCCACAGTAGATAGAAGACTCATAGAGGATTTCTGTATCCTGCACGCCATAAGATCTGCATTGCTGAAGCGTGGTTGCAAGGGCATGGCATGGAAAACGGACGGGAGCGAACTCTATGCAGCATATGCGTGCACATATCTGCACGCACGCATGCATATATGCATGCATGCACGGATACATACATACACACGTATGTACATGCATACATACGTACGTACATCCACACATTGGCATACCTTGACATACATACATACATACATACATACATACATACAGACAGACAGACAGACAGACAGACAGACAGACAGACAGACATACAGAAAGACAGACAGACATACAGACATACAGACAGACAGACAGACAGACAGACAGACAGACAGACAGACGGACGGACGGACGGACGGACGGACGGACGGGCGGGCGGACAGACGGACAGACGGAGGACAGACGGACAGACGGACAGACGGACAGACAGAGACATACATACATACAGCGATCCATGCATGCATGCATGCATGCATGCATGCATGCATACATAGCTTTGCAGCCGCCATGCAAGATTCCACTCTGCGACAGAAGCATCAACTAGCTTCAGTCTGCTCAGGCCAGACTTGATATCATTGGACCCCTGTGCCAAACCCTTACAGTGAATCTTTTGCCCAGCGGTTACGGATCTGCTTTGCTGACTTCCCGGACGTACTTTGCTCTATCGACCAGGGACCACCACCCCTGGAGATGTGAATCAGCCCGTCCTTGCTAGCGGCTTGGGATTTAAAATTAAGGATTACCATGGCGCCTAAGCTAACCTGTCAATTCTGTGGTTTAGAAGCACATCACGATACATTTACACTCATATGGGTAGTTGTCAAAATTATGGTCTCTTTTGGGGTACCCTAAATAATAGGTGCCGTATTCTAATAAGGACCCAAAAGGGACCATAATTTTGACAACCGCCCATATATCAGTCTGTCTATCGATTTAGATATGCACACGGGATGCACGTATATAAAGTGAAGCTGAAGATACCAGCGGGGTGCTTCTGCGAGCTGTTTCAGTTTAAGGGTTGCTCGGCTAGCCCTCATAATCTACATTATGGGATCGCGAACCATCGCCTCATGGGAGGTGTGACCTAAGATAAGAAATCTGCGTCGTCGCGTCGTTGCGCGGAAACTTAGCGTCGTCGCGTTGTCACGCCCTCGCCTACGCGTCCGAAAACCTCGTGCACCGCTACGGTGAACCGTACCCACCATCTGACCGAGTGGCTGCATGTCCTCGACAATCAGGATGTCCCCACGGCCGATGTCCAGGTCCTCTGTGCTCACCACCTCATCCCAGCCTGCCTTGCATAAAGAGGCGCAAAGAATAGGTCCGCAAGCTGCAGTTCCGCATCGTTCCGCACCTCCTCCGCAAGGAGCAAGTACTCTGCGAAGAGCGGACCTGGGACTCGCAAGATTGCAACGTAAACTGAACCAGTGCCCAGGCATCTCGCTCAGCTCCAGGCTTTTGTCTGCATGCATGCGCCATTCATGGGACATGCTGCCAGCACGCAATATAACCGGTCAGTATCAACGCATGCGCTTTTAACGACTGGAGCCCTGCAATGCCCTGCACTCATCGATGGAACGAGCACAAAAAACTGGGCATGCTGTTTGTGTGCCGTTACCATGTTACCGTTGCAGAGTACACAGTGGCTGATGAAGCTGTGGACGACGTGAATGCCAGCAGGCCAAAGAGATGCAAAGGATGCCACAAAGCTGCAGAGGCGTGCGATGAGCTTGGCAACGAGGTCCCAGTGTCCATTTTCGAGTCTTCGGCTTGCGAAAAGACATCAATAGCTGCGAGTACATGTTCTTGATCTACGAGACCGACTGGGAGGTGCGAGTGCTGTGTGCAGCCTCAGGCGGTCGGACCGTCAGACCCGCCGTCCTCAGAAACGTGCGCGGATGCTTCCGGCAACCCTCGCATCTTAAACTCTTAAACATCAGTCTCATCATTGACAAGCAGAGCCTGCGAAGACCGCTCGGGGCCGTCGAGAGCATAGGAAATTGATGATTAAAGTTTAAAACCTATAGCTTTAAATACTTCACTTGCTCGATCGCTTCTGCGAGTGCCAACATCCGCCGTTTTGAAACTGAATACCCTAGATGCCTGGCTGATGCAAAGACCGCTCGGGGCCGTGGAGAGTATGGGAAGATGATCTGATAGCCGGGTGGCGCGAAGCCGAGATGCTCGATCCCTTCGGCGAGGGCCTTCAGGAGCCGTTCTGAGACTGGAAATCCGAGATGCTTGCTTGTCTGAGCCGACCACATCTGCTTGAGTCAAGCAGATGCGCGCGCATCCATTGCCTTCCGAAGCTAAGCTTCGTCGCAGACGGCCTGACCACGAATCTGCCGCTTCTGGAGAAGCCAAATGCGGCAGATTCGTGGTCAGGCCATCCTCAACGAAGCTTAGCCTCGGAAGCCACGGCCCTTGTGCACCCACACAGGGAGCACGATTCCCCCACCTTTTTGGGAGGGGCCGGATCCTTGCAACCGGCTGACCCTTCCGACGTGTCACATGTCATGTGCCTTCGTGGCGGCCCTGCGCCTCCCAGAAAGAGGAAACCGCCTCCGCTGCCTCGAGATGCAAGAGCTGAATGCTGGCAAAGGCCTGTCGCTGCCGGACTGCAGCACAGAGCAGAACGTGGACTCTGGCGCGCGCTGTCTTTCATGACTCGTGACATGCAAGAATGCTGTGCTGGCTGCTCTTTGGCGAAGCCTCAAGCCGAAGTGGGAGCAGAGCAGCGGTCGGCATGAAAGAAGACACGAAGCGGATTCAGCTGTCAAGAGTCAAGTTGGCCACAAGAATGCAACCATCATTTTCGAAAACATCGGCACGAAACGACGTGTGTAGCTGTGATTCGCTCTGTGCAGCACCAGGCAAGGCAGTCAGAGCCGCCGTCCTCAGAATTCGTGAGTGGATGCTTTCTGAAACGCAATTTGACTTGTGTTGCGGCTCACGACGAGAAAACCGACAAGCACAGAAAGAAGCAGTCCGAGTGACAGGGAAACGTGGCACTCCAATCAAACGACCTCGCTGTGGCATGGTGGTTGACTTGACCCTGCAGCCTGCACACGTCGGAGAAACTTCTGAAGCCCCCGGCTGCTGGCGTGCTTCAGAAGCATCGCAGACTCTGCCAGAAGCTCCGCTTCTGCGGCCTTGCTGGGCCACCTGCAAAAGACACTCCAACCCTGCAACACGCAGAGTTGGCACCGCCAACTAAAGAGCACGATCCGAAACGGCGTCCGTCGGCCTTCACGCTTTGCGCTCTTCTTCTCGACGGCGCCGGTTTTCGTCGCCATCGGGGCCGCCACCTGCATCCCATCACCCGACACCCCCTCCCCTCTGAACCACAAGATGCCATGGTGTGAACCTCAACCCAACTTTCACAGAAGGCACCAACTGCTTTCGGTCAAATCGGCCTGCTTCGGCAGCAGCCCAGAATCCTCCAGCAGCATGGGGTGGATGGCCTTCTCGGCATGTCAAGGTAACACCCCGTCCGATCCCCGTTCCTCTGTCGACACTGAGTCCGCAGCTCGGCACGCGTGCAGCATCCAGGATGCCACCGCGGAGCAAGGCACCAAACTGGCTCAAGCTCATGTTTACCCTACAGATAGCTCCGAACGTCCGCCGGCGCGGAATAGCTTCTGCGGGCTAGCCAGTACGCACGCGAACTCCACTTCACGAACCAGTAGCAGCAGCATGAGGTGAGATGCAAGCGCAAGTAACAAGTGAGTGAAGCAGTGGACGGGACAGCACGAAGGCGTGGGTGAGTGGGCGAGCGAACGAGAATGAGACAATGCAGCGAGTGCAGCTGTGTAGCCGCAGAGAAAGGATGGAGTCCCAAAGCAGTGAGCAATCAACTACGGATTGGGGAAGGTGAGACGAGAGACCGAGTGAACCAGCGACTGAACTCAGAGAGCAAGCGAGTGCTTGAGTAGACTTGGTGCGTGCGTCGATTTAGTGAGTACAGAGAGCGAGCCAACAAGTGCATGAATGCAGGAATTGAGCAATTGGCAAGTTGAGTAAGCGAGTATAGCCTATATGGCCGATGAGTCAGCAGGCGAGTGAGCAAGTCATTGAGCCAGTGCCAAGTTGAGTAGGTGAGCAAAGCTGAAGCAGCAGATGACTGAGCAATTTATTTTGAGAGTGCACGCAAGGGCTCACTGAACTACTGCGACGGGCGCGGCTCCATGAGCTTAAACTGCGGATACATGGATTGGGCTGTACAGTACATGGACTGAGACGCACGCGGAAGAAGTGCCAGCAGCGAAAGACCGCATGATGTAATATGCTGATCAGCGAGTGGACGAAGTGACACGAGCGAATTGGAATTTTGTAGTAAGTTACAGACAGTGGGCAGTAAATTGACAAGTAAGTGCGCGAGTGCACGATGGAGAATGAGTGCATGAGTTGAGCCAGTGAGCAAGTGGTTGAAAGAGGGGAGTGGGGAAAGCCAGAAAGTAAAAAGTTGGCAAATGCTTGCAGACGCGGTGAAGGAGTGAGTGAAAAAGTGAACAAGTAGAGCAATCTGCCAACATGCCAGGAAGTAACAATGGAGTCGGAGATGAAACGCGAGGCGCAAACAAGAGAATGACCGAATGATGGCGAAAGCCGAGCGCACGCAAGCACCGCCACACTTTTTCAAGGAATACTTACCATGACCAAGAGCCCTAAACTTGCCCTAAACCCTTCACCGCCCCTGAGATACCTTGAGGTTTGGGGTGCTACCCTTCTTTCGTGTGCAGACTGTCCTTCGCACTTGCACAGGCCCATCATCCCAGCGATCGTGCCTTTCGCTGCTGTTCGCCCAGCAGCACTGTCGCGACCCTTCAGTGGTCTCAAGGCCTCGAAAGCACCGGCGATGATCGCAACGGAAAAGCCCCAACAAACTGCAGCGAAGCCGAGACAGTCGAGACGCCTATCATGCTCTGGTCGTGGAGCATGGCCTGCAGCACTACCACAAATGATTGCCACCGGAAAAGGACCACAAGAAAGGCCAGTGCCTGGACGGCCGCACGGAAAGGATTGTTGATTCCCGTCTCCTTCGTGCCAGGGCATCGTCCAGAAATGTGCAGGAGCTCTTCACACTGCCCCTTCTGCTGACCTTGCCCAACAGATCCGCACCGGTGCAATCTCGGAGCCAGATCTGCCTGGTTTGCACGACACCGCATGTTGCAGACAACCAGCGTAGGCTTACGTAGGCTTGCAGCCTCTCCGACAAACGCTGCTGTGCAGACACCTCCGGCGCACGCGCAGCAGGGTCGTTCAACCTGAACATCCTCGCTGCTACCAATTTTGGTGCCTCGGAGGTTGCGAGCGCCGCTTCCTGGCAGCGCAGACCAATCATAGCTGGCTGAGGGCAGCATGTGGCAGTTTGGCTCTGCCTCCACTCCACAGGCTGTGCACAGTTCGGCCAAAGCCTCCGAGGCAGAACCAGACGGCCGTGCTGGCCGAAGTTGATGCACTGCTTACGGGGAAGTGGGACTGGTGCGATAGCAGAGAGATCCGGCTCGACAGACGAGCTCTGAAAGAAAGTCCCTGCCTTAACCGCTGCCCGTGTCTTGTCGTTCGCTAGCTCCTGGGGTGTGCTCGCGGTTGCAGTCCGAGTGTTCCCGACTCCCCGATGGCTGTGCCCAACTTCCGGATCACTGCGGCATACTGCAGCTCTCACCGGTTCATGTCAGCACTTCTCTCGCCCTCCACTCAGCACAGGCCTTGCTCTCTGCTATTGCTGCGGGCACCTCCTCAGGTTGGAGCGTTTGGCTGGGGCCCCAAGAGGATCCAAGGCACTCAGGGCAGGACTGGCCATAGCAGCAGCTGAATCAACGGGACCAGGATTCCCGACAAGCGCTCCGTCTGCATCTTCTCCAAGAATTTGGCCAGTGAGCCTCGGAGAACTTGCATCTTGCGTCCCTGCATGTCCCTGCGCATCCCTGCGCGTGGGATCTCAGAGGAGAGCGGACAGCCAGAACGGCAGCTAGCTGGTCCGGTGGATCCTCAGCATGCAAGCTGCTGTTCACGCGAGCGCGTCAAGCCGAACCTGCTGAGCCTGGCCTCTTCGGCAGCACAGGCTCTCTCCTCTTCCGCCGCCTCGTGGCTATGACCCTACTTGCAGTGCCCGATTGGCGCAAGGTGAACGCTGGTCCTGCAGGGCATCGATACGCTCCGGCGATGGCACGGGCCTCTGGCACACGCCATGACATGCCGTCACGAGGCGAGCACGTACACATCGCAGAAACAGCCGAAACGACAAGGCAGCCGCCCGTTGTTCTCGACATCGATCATGAGTATCTCCGCAGCGCGCAACAACACCACCCAAGACAAGCGCAAGCACGCGGGCGCAAGCATGTCGGATGCCTCCCAGATGCTCCTGGGTCTGTTCACGTACCTATGGCGCTCTGCCTGGTCCACACAGCTATTGCAGAGCTCACTGACATCCCCACCCCAACCAGACGGGTGCTGCCAGCACGTGCAGTTGGGAGAGCAGCGGCCCGCAGACGATCAACTCCGCTACGGCCTGACATGCGCAAAACACACTCCAAACACTGACACAGCTCGCCGCTGGACTCACCTGCGTCACTGCAGGCTGCGCAAGGGACAAGAGATCGATCACGAAATCCAGCGCGTCCTGAGCAGCTCGAACATAATATGAAGCACGAGATCTGGCATCACAAGCCGGAAAGGGAGGCTCCTGCTCCATCGTCAGCGCGGCTTGGAGGGCACTAGGCTTGTCCTTCTGCATGGCCGTTGCCATTTGCGCCTCGGTTCTGTCCACATGCTGTCCACACACTCCCTCATCCCAGGAACCTCCATGATAACGCGAGCCAGGCCGCCCAAGCGCAATGCAGCCTTTCGGCCAGCTTCGGCAGCAATGTGCTCCTCAACACCTGCTGCATGGCACAACCAGCCCGACAAATTCGAGGACCGCCAAGCTGCAGCCTCGACGGCTGCACCATGCACCTGGTGTGGGGGGAGCAGTCGCGCTTGGAGAGCGTGTCAAGTGCGTCCCAGTGGCACGAGGGTTCTTTGCTTGCAGGAGGCCTGGCATGCAAACAAGTACGAAGTACGTCGAAAGCTAGCGGCTCGGCTCGGGCAGTTTGAAACTGAGTTCTGCCGAGGTGCAAAGGCAGACCACTCTCGACCCCGTCTCGGCCATGTCGTAGCCGTGGAAAACGTACCGCACGGCCTGCAACGAAGATCGCCTTCCCACCGAGGCACCCTGAATAGAGACGCAGAGATGCCGGCCTCCTCCATGAGGGGCAGCCTCGCCACCTGGCGCGCAGTCAGCACACGATGGACGTTAAGAGCTCAGGCAGACAGCCTCAGGGCCGGCTGTGGCCTCGGTGCAGACGGCAAGCTTGAAAGTAAGTCATAACCATCGGAGTTTTGAGACACGCCGAGGACCCGAGCGTCCAGGAAAAGGTCGACATTCCTCGGAATCCGCGGACGACATATAATTTCGATTGGGGCAGTGCCGCTCAAAGCCCGTCGGCCCCGTGAGTGTCTGGCTGCGGGGTCAGACGGAGCGCCATTCGCTTCAATGCAGCGATGTATTGGCCCTCAGTGGCAGGGAAGGTCAGCTTTGATGCCGCCATTGGGAGATTCTGGGATCTTGGCCAGAACGTCTTGGGACTTGTCCGGGATCTCCGGCCTCGGCCGGATCAGGAAACTGATCGCCAGCGGCCTTTCCAGCAAGACCCAGCGCAGCCGAGCCCGGTGCTGCCCCTTTACCAGCTGGTTCAGCTGGTGGAGGAGGTGCGGAAACGACTCCTCCTTCACCTCGACAGCCGCAGGGGGACAGAAATGAAGGCTGAACAACAAGTGCTCAAATTTCTCGGCCAGCCACGTTTACAAGGATCATCGCCCTGGGCTTACAGCGCGAAAGGTTCGGACGTGGTGGCATGCAGCGCTGAAACGCGTGAGGGGAGCCGATTCACAGGTCCGAGAGGCACTGCGCGGAAGAGAGCCGCCCTGACCCGGCGGAGGGTGTGCCGCGCAAGCAGACCCTGCTGCACGAGGAGGGTCATGGCCTTTGGCACAGATGGCCCATGATAGAAAACCACTCTGCAACGATCTGTCTTCTCGCATTCGCAGACTCTCTCTCTCTCGAGCTGGCACACCCGTGCACACCCTACCGGGATTTGCGAACAAACTCGCACCGGGACTTGCCGCCTGGCCTGCCGTTCTTGAAAGACGCGGAAGAAGCCGGTACCCTTCTCCTCCGAATAGGAGAGCCTGCGAAGACCGCTCGGGGCCGTGGAGAGTATGGGAAGATGATCTGATAGCCGGGTGGCGCGAAGCCGAGATGCTCGATCCCTTCGGCGAGGGCCTTCAGGAGCCGTTCTGAGACTGGAAATCCGAGATGATTGCTTGACTGAGCCGGCCACATCTGCTTCAGAAGGCAGATGCGGCAAATTTGTGGTGAGGCGCTCGGCCACGAAGCTGAGCCTCGGAAGGCAAGCAACAGCTCTGCAGCACGCGCATGCACGCGCATGCACGCGCATGCACGCGCAGACGGTGTCACCGGGCGAGTGGCAGCTGCTCGAAGCCTTGCAACGTCCGTGGGAAGTCCTGCATCGCCACAGCGTGCCCTTGTGCACCCACACAGGGAGCACGATTCCCCCGGCCTTTTTGGGAGGGGCCGGATCCTGGCAACCGGCTGACCCTTCCGACGTGTCACATGTCATGTGCCTTCGTGGCGGCCCTGCGCCTCCCAGAAAGCAGAGACGGCCTCCGCTGCCTCGAGATGCAAGAACTGACTGCCGTCTAAGGCCTGTCGCTGCTGGACTGCAGCACAGTGCGGCCAAGGATCGGCCGACAACCACTCCATCGATGCGGACGCGGTCTGTACTTCGATACTGCACTGCTACAGGTGGAGAATCAGAACCTGGACTGTGGCACGCGCGCTGTCTTTCATGACTCGTGACATCTCAGAATGCTGTGCTGGCTGCTCTTTGGCGAAGCCTCAAGCCGAAGTGGGAGCAGAGCAGCGGTCGGAATGAAAGAACTGCAAACATGCAGACACGAAGCTGATTCAGGTGAAGTTGCAGTAGCTGGCAAGAGGACCCGTCCAAAACTACACTTCGATGGATAATCAGGGCGTGCATGTCGAGTCTGAACTTTGAAATATGCATACTCCTCTTATTTCTTGCGACCTGTCCTGATCGCTTGACATGTTGGCTGCTCTTTGGCACAGCCTTAAGCCGAAGTGCAAACAGAGCTGCGATGCTCTAAATGGGAATGCATCCATGGCATACTATGGGACCCCCAAAACAACAAAGCCTGAACCTCCAAGGCCACAACGTGCATCCAGATCGGTCAGACAAGACCAGGACAGAAGTGACGGAAGCAGAAGCTTCAAGAAAAGCGTAGAACTTCGTACCATGCCCGGACTACTCTGGACTGGGCATGCTGAGGCACCGAAGGGAGATGCGCGCACACGGGCAAGCAGTTTTCGTGAAGCTCAGGATCTTGACACACCCGTAGTTGTTGCAACTCCTACGGTCCTAGGCATCACGGCCCGACGCATGCCGTGCGGGACCCCCACGCCCATCCTGCGAAAGACTGAAGCTATCCAGTCAGTCGTGTAGGTCGGTCAGAACAGTTACCAGAACCAGCTCCAGCAATGTGTCTTTTTTCCGGCAAGCATGGTGCGAACAAGCAAGCACGGCACCAACATCAAAGCGAAGCGTGCGACTCTGTTGGTCGTTTCAAAGGTCAGGAGATACCAATTGCATCTGCTGAGAGCACACTTCTACATAAGTTGATGCACCGTCCTCTACAGCTTGCTGATCATTGATGCATTCCCCCGCAGCACCTCGGTAGCCTGCGTGACCATATCCTCAACAATCTTCTGTGCAGGCTCGACACTTCGAACACCTCCGACAGCTTGCCCAGCCAAGCTGTTAATTGCATCGAATATGCCCTTTCGCTTCTCTGAGTCGGACTCGGGATCCTTCATGTCATGGGTCAGGGGGACGATACCCTGATCACAAAGATCCTTGATCTTGGCCGGGTCCTCACAGAGACTTCCGCTTCATGGCAGGGAGCACTCAAAGAACACGAGGATGCAAGCGAGCTGCCTTCTCCCAGCTCTGGACCCAATCGTTTGGAATCAAGCGCAGTGGTCGACCAGAAAGCACCAGGGTCCTCAACGTATCCTGCAGGGAATGACACAGGAATTCCACGACTGCCATCACATCACGACGGGCTCCACCTTCCATTTTCTTGGCAGACCCCAATCCATTCGCACAGCAGAAAGCTGAAATTATCAGATCAACGAGCAACCCCTTGCACAGGTCCTGGCTTCCGGCTGCGATGACTTTGTCCTTGTGGGCCTGATAGATCATTGTCTAGTTAGTCTAGCAGCTATGAAGCCTATGACTCGAAGCAGCATGTGACTTGGGAGTCAACCGCAAGACAGCCGCCAGGGCGCCTGTGGTGCAGCAGACTCTTCGGCACAGATGAAGCGGGTGCCCACCCAAACACCGGAGGCGCCCAGCCCCAATGCGGCCGCCAAGCCGCGGCCGTCAAAAATGCCACCAGCCGCAACACAGACTACAGGGCCACCAAAAGCATTTCCTTGGTGAAAGACACCAGTGCTTCGGTCTGTGGGACAAGCAGTCCTCAACGCTCCCCACATTCCATCTCTGCTGCTTACAAAGGCTCCCTCCCTGAAGGCCAAGCTAAATTGCCTGCGTCCGTTTTGCCGGCCGACCGGTACAGGCGGAGGCAAGTTTTTGACTGTCTAGTCGAGGGAAGACTAGCAAAGAAACAAAAATAGGTTTATCGTCGAGGCACTGCGCCCTCGGCATGCATCCACCACTTGCGGAATTAGACACATAGTGCCAATATCCCCAGTATGGCCTCCACCCTCCGTGCCTTGGGCGATGATAATGTCCACGCCTGCATCCAAGGCTTTCTGGGTGTTCCGAACGGAGCCGACCATGTTGGCAATGACAACCCCTCCGGCGTGAAGCTTGTCTACAGCCCATTGTGGAGGCACCCCAACGGCACAAATGAACAGCTTTACCTTTTCCGCCACAATGATGTCAATCAGCTCTGGAAGATGGCCGTGCGTGTAGTCGTGATTCGTCTTTCGGGCATTGCCACCTATCTGTGGAATGGCCAGGTCGACACCGAACGGAAGAGACTTGTCAGCCAAGGCATTCTTCAGCCAGGTGATCTCCTTCGTGAGGACTTTTGGTGTCATCGTCAATCCACCGATTGACCCAATTCCACCTTAGGAGCTTGCGAACACTGATCCTGCTACAGCAATAAAAGTGGTAGCTTTGCCTGTCCCTGGCCTGCATTGCTCACCGCTGCAGCCAGGTCTGAATGCGAGACTCCATTCATGCCAGCCAGCATGATCGGATGCTTGATCCCGAGCAGCTCCGTCAAAGGAGTCTGCAACGCCATCTTGAGAGGGAGGCACACTTTTTCGGCTCAACCCGGACCACTCAGATGAGTCACAAAGTTGGTGGGTTTGGTGTTTCTACTCGTTTCTTGTCTTCTGACCATGTTCGTGCATTCCGGCCGGCTCAAGATGCTGCAAAATTCGTCAACAAATGCAGCGCTGCAATCAAGGTCAAACTCCTGCATCTGCATGCAAGCGTCCTGCAGAGTGGAGCGAACTCAGCGCGCCTTGGCAAGTCAGAAGCACGGAGTCCGGGTTCTGGCTTTCGCTTTCTGGCGCAAGGAAGCAGCGCAGGTGAGCGCAGTCGCATGCAGTCGCCTGAGGACCAAGCAGAAGCCAAAGCTTGGGCGGCCATTTGGTGTCCCTGTGCAGCTGCCAAGCCTGGGAATGTCAGAGCCCGCTCTCACGGAGGCAGGGTCGCAGGTCGCGGACCCCCTCGCAGGCCGCTTCGCTTCGACATGCCAAGGCCGAGGCTCAACCATCGATTCGCTTCCTCGACATTTTGCTCACGCCCCGCTCCACGCAGGAATGCCATGCCTTCACAAGAGTTCACAAGCATAGTAGCATGTGTAGGCACGGCAACCGCACAAACAAACGGCATCTCTGTGTTCAAACTAACCTGTTCCAGTGCAGTCATGCTGAGGTCTCTGCCCAGATTGCACTGGGCGTTTGGCTCGCCACCTGCAAAGTGCAGCACCATGCTGCAGCTGTTGCGAGTATGAAATCTTCAGAAAATGCATGCTTGGGGCGAACACTTCGGGCAAGCTCTTCCCAGATCTGCGACGCTTCCTCGACCTCCCAGATGCTTCTACCCCAGGATCCCACGTACTGGATTGCTTGAACCTCGCCCCGCTGGGCGTGGATTGTTGCGACGTTGTTCTTAGCCTTCCCAGCTGCTATGCAACAGCTCTCAAGGTCGAACGAGTCGGACACCTCCGCGTGGCCCTGCCGAGCTGCAAACTTCAGCCTCGGAAGAACACCCGCTTCCGGATCCGTTGATGGGTGCTCCGCAGGTTGCGCTGGGCCGCGCTCCACATCTCAGCTTGCCGCAAATCTTGCTGCAGACCTTTTTTAGCCAAGCGGATCACCCAGCGCCAAACATTTTCCCGAAATCTCGGGCCGCACCGGTTCCATCAAGGAAGAGCATGCCAAGCGTGTACTGAGCCTGTCGGGTGGATTGCGATGGACAATCGACTACAGCATCAAGCTCCCTCTCATTGTCATGGACATCTGATTCTTCACGGCAACGGCGGCCGGGACGCTAACACCGGCATGCCCCGGTGCGCGGCCAAGCCTTGGGGAAGCCAGCTTCAGCACTTCGCTGGTACCAATTCGCCTGAGCTCCGCAGTCACGAGTCGCCACACTGTAGTCTTCTCTCCCTCGCCGCTCGAAAGCCACTTGAGGAGCCCACAGCCTCTGAGAAATCGGTGCGCACACCCCTGCCCTGGCCTTCACAAGGAACACAAGCCTGTAGAGGTGCAAGACTGGAAAGAAAAATGCCAAGGTTGCGGTACATCTCACCCATCATGAATGCGGCTTCGACCTGGCAAGCGACCAGAAGCGAGTCTTCCAGTTTAGCATCCGCCAAGATCCTCCAGCTGCTCGGCGGCTCGCCGCATCCAGACCTCAGGCCACGTTTGCCCTACCAGGACTCGCCGCTTTCGGCTGTCCGCGCTCCGTCCTGCGTCCTGGGGACCACACTACTGCCTGCGCATCATCTCGGCGCACGCCTTGCCCGTTGGCGTAAGCCTGAGTTGTACGCACAGACCCGCCAAGAGCTTCTCCAGTGCATGTGATCAGTTGCACCGGTCTTTTGCTTGCGACGATCCAGCTTCGTGTGAAATTTCAACCAGATCTCAGACGGCCCCAATTCCATGCGCCGCTCTTCGCGGCAACGTCGCTGTGTGCAGCACCAGGATCTCCAGCTGACAAGTGCCTGGTCTTTCTCGCTGTACACCGAATCGAGCTCTCTGAGAAGGAAGTGTCGGACTTCATGCTGAGGCTGCCTAGAACGAAGATCAGACGCACTAGAACGGCTAAGCTGGCTTCTCCTTCTGTCCTTTCGCATCCCTGTTCAAGAAACGTCCAAGGTCTCCAACAAGCTGGGGCGGCCATCGCCGAATGTTCTCCACCCAGGAGAGGTCCTTATACTGCCGGCAACCGACGTCTGTGTTCTCGCATGCGACACGCCATTCGTCTTCAGCGCGGCTGTAATCGCCCTCGGACCAATACGATGCCGCCAAGGCAATGTGCGCGTCTGCGATACTAGGGTCTCGTCGCACAACATCTTCCATAATCGAAATTGCTTCGATGGGCTCGCTTACACCAAAGAGTGCCAGAGCCTCGTTGCAACGAGATAGCGCTGCTTGTGTGTACTCCTTGTCCTCAGGGCCACTGCCGAAAAGGAAACTTTGCTAACTTGCAGCCTTTGGCCTGGCTTGGGTCCTTTATGAAGATTTCAGTTGCTTCGCGGTAGTCTGCCAGTGCATCTTTGAAACGTCCCAACTGGCCAAACGCATTGCCCCGATAGTTGAGGACCAACGGGTTGACTCCCAAGCCGGTCCTCGGGAACATTCGCTCAGCGGCTGCGCAGAACGTAAACCCACTCGCGTGCATCAGTGTTCGCTATTCGCCTTTTGCCACCAAAGCTCTCTGACACTGGCCGAGAACGCCACGTGTCGATCGCTTTTGTGTAATCCTATCTTAGCCACTGCTGACACGCTTTTCCGGTCCACTGGCTGCTGCTGCATTGCGCTCACAACAGCTCCTGAACAGCTGCCTCCCACTGCTTCTTGTCCTTCCGCCCATATGCAATCTCCTCTCGCGCGAGAGCTCGTCGAACAAACACGCTCGGGTAGTCGAAAGTTCCTTCTGTCACACAGCGCAGATAGAGATGAGCCCTCACAGAATCCACAATCCTGAAGTTGAAGAGACAACGTGCCTGTTGCAGCACCGTCTTCTTCCATGAGCTGCACTACATCAGAGTAGTCTTGCACTGCTGCCTCTGCCTTCGAAGGGCGCCAAATCGTGCAGCTGAGCATGTGCAAATTTGTCTTCGGATCCGCCTTCGCTGGTAGCTGACCACCCGTGCAATCATTGATTGCGATTCGAGCCTGCAATTTGCATCTGCATTCGGCAGCGGCCATGAACTCAAGCTGATGCTGCCAGTTTACAGAAAAGTCTTTGAGAAACATGCAGCCCCTTTGCCCGGCCAAGCGCTCTGTTCACTGCCGAACACATGCGCTGCACTGAGCACTCGCTGTATGTCGATAGCCTAAAGCTGCTTACTGAGTTACTGTCACGCTTTATATCCCATGTCCTGTGCCCGAGCCATGCGCAGCTCGCCACGATCCTTCAAGCAAGAGAGACAGGAGTGTGCATGGGTGGCTGTAGAGAACTTCGAATTCGCTCCTGGCCTGGCGCGATGCGCCGGCCTCGTCGAAGCGCTGGATCACCGTCGTGAACGCCTGGCTCAGCGAGGACGACGAGTCACAGGCAGCCACTCTGGCAGCACTGCCTCCTCTGCTGCCTCGAGCTCCTCCCGCGCACCAGGCCTAGGCGGCACATTTGGCACTCCGGGCCCTCCTTTCCCGCTTTGCAAGCGTGAGCTGGAAGTCCGGGCCTCCGGGGGTCTGCAGCCATCGCTGCAAAGGCACCACCCAGCAAGGCCGCATCTTCGGCAGAGGGCCCAGCCGCGGCAAGAGCCTCCAAGAGCGGAGCGGTGCTCGCAGTGGCCAAAAAAGTTCTGCCGGCTCTGGCCTTCGAAGGCAAAGTGAAACTTGCCACCACGGCAGCCATTTCCCGGCGAGGGAAGGCCACCGGCCGGGAAGCCGGGCGAGCCGGGCGAGCCGGGCGGGCAGGAAAAAACTGCAGGAAGCTGACCGCAAGAGACCCAAAGCCGAGGCTCAACAGCAGCAGTCGTCGGCGCAGGTGACGGCGCATGTCACATCTCTGCTTCATCACTCAGACTCTCTGCGGGCTTAACCAGCGGATGCTCTCGCGACTCTAGGTGCACTCATCGACTTGGGTACTTGACAAGACAAAAGCTAGATCTGCTAGAGTCTGCTAGAGCCAAGATGGAAGCTTTGAGCTGGTTTCCAAGCAAGCGCGTTGCATCTTCTTGCGGCCTGAGGCCCTCTGCCAAAGCGAGGTTCTTCTGAGCCATTGCAAAGCCCGCTTCCGAGGCTGCTTTGAGCCAGTGGACGGACCTAAGCATAAAGCCCAAAGCCCACGGGCTCTTCCAAAGCTTCGGCTGCACTCCGCCTCTGCAACGCGTCGGTCCCGGCACCGCCTTCGTGGAGGCGTCGATACAAGAGCCTTGCCGTCCGTCAGCTTGGTGTGTTGCCCATCACAAATGTAGGCTATGCGGTCTTGTCCCGACCATCGCCGGGCCACCCGAGGTTGTTCTGCGCAAAGTGATGCCCGGCAGCTGCACTACGCTCGTACAGCTCTTTGGCCTGAACAAGTTTTCAGAAGCTTTGTCTAACTTCGACAACCGGTTGGGCGTTTCGTTTGCCTACTGCGCTCGGCGCTGGATCGTCCCGCAGCCTTGTTGGCATCCACCTTGCGACCGAAGAGGCCATGCCTAAAGCGCCGAGATGCGCGGTGATCGGCAAGCCACTCCAGTCGAGAACATGTTTGCACAAGCTCTTGCTGGGACCGCAGGACCGCTAGGACTCAGGCTCATAGTTCTGAGCCAGGTTGTACAAAGCATCCGGGTCACCTTCAGCCTCAAAGATCAACTCCGAATTCTCATAGACTGGTGGTCACAAGCCGGCAGATGCTGAAACACTCCAGTTTCTCTGAGTTCCCCTCTGCAAGCGAGTCATACCATGGAGTCGTCCGGTCCCAAACGGCCTGGCAAGTTGCACACAAACGACAAAGAAGCTTTCGATGCAGCAAGCATCCCCTGCCTGCAGGGAATCCTTGATCCAGAAGACGAGGCTGTAGCGTGAACCCTTCCAAACATGAACCTGATACGATACTCGAGCTTCCCACGGTGAGATACAACTCGAAAGCCATGGAAACCAGGAGCTGGACACCATGCTGTAGGTCGAAGGAGTGGACCTCAGCTCCCACGTCTTACGACTGTTGTGAGCCTTTCCTACGCCTGGGGAAGGCACCAACAAGTCTCCCGGCTCCAAGCGAAAATACATGCGCGAAGACACGTCAGCATCGGGCTGGATGTAGAGGCCGCCCTAGTACGATCAAAGAGCATGCAGAATCAGGTTCTCCCTGACTCCCTCACAGTGCAGTCGAGCCTGATAGCCATCCGGACTCGAGAGGCCCAGCACCGCTGTCACGAAGGCGTGGCCATCAAAGTGGACGGCATGTGTGCGGCGCTCCCCGGGTAGGTAGCGTCCTCAAAAAGTCGACACTGGGAGACGTCGAAAGACTTGGCACCTTTGCCCTGACGTGCTCTGAGCCTGGATCTTTGCTGAGGGCGCGGCTAACCAGGATGTCAGACACAGCACAGAAACGACAACCATAGCCTTGATGGCTTTGCAACAGTCAGACTCCTGCAAGCAGATGCTGGCCAGGGCACGCTGCCGAACGTAGGGAAGGAGCTGCAACTCGATGGTTTCTTCGAGCAGCCTCCTGGAAGAGAAAAACCCTGTGCTCTCTCACACGCTCCCTCAGATTTTCCGCAAAAATTCTGACCCTCCCATCATCAAGCACTTTGTCTGAAGCTCGACGGCAACGTCACAGGCAATGTCCTCATGCCATCATCCGCCCAAGCTCCGTCACGGAACCTTTTCTGCAACTACGGGCGAAAATACGTTGCAAGTACTCTCGCGGCAGAAACTGAGCAAAGGTTCTTTCTGTGTTTCCGACATCTGTCTCCCTTTCAGCTTCGTAGCACATCAAGCTCAGTGCAAGGCGGGTAGTACTCGAAACTTGGAGTCTTGTCCACGGAATCGGGTGCGGCAGAAAACCACGATGTCTGCTTCTTGCAGTGCCTGCCGCAAAAAGTAGCCAGTCACAGAAACTGGGACGGCAGTTGACACATCTTTTTTCATGGCAAAGCGACAAACAGCATGAAGTTGTGGTGTCAAACATACTGTGCTTCTGGAGAAGCTCACGATGGTCCCAAGACAGCAAAACTGGGGGTCTCGGCTCGAGGATTGCTTCTGCGATCTCCCCACGCACCATACCAGGAAGTCGGTAGAAAGAGCAAGCCTGAGAAGTGCCAACACAAGTCTCCGCATGCGGCAGGCGCAAACAGCATCCCTGTGAGTCCCGAACTTGTGCAGGATGGAAGGCTTTGTGCAGGTGCCCGGATTGCTCGGCCCCGGCCCAGTCTCCCACCTTAGCTTCACCCATGCCGATGATCCCCAAAAGGACGATCCACTGCAAAAAGCTGCCAGGAAACACAGTCATGCCAATGAAAGCTCTAGCACGGTTCCTGCCTGAACATCCTTCTGCTCCTTGAACTCATATCTCAGCCTTGAAACTATGCATGTCCCGCAAGTCTGCAGTCTGCAGCAACAGGATAGGATGCTGGGGAATGCTCAAGCCTATTGAGGCCATGACGGTGGCGTTGACCAGAAGTAGCCTGGTGCCTACCAGTTGAGGCGTGTGCTCCGGACCTCCAAATTTCTCGAGTCCACCTTCTTCTTCTTCTGTCCAGGTCGTGCTCCCGCTCCCAGCCTCAGCGACAGGTGACCAAGGCACTTCCCTCGTTGTGGGCGAAGGCCTAGGGCCTGGGGGCCTTGCACTGCAGGGGGGCCGTGTTGGCCCTGAGCCTGCCCAGAAGCAACAGCGGAGAAAAGAGACAGAGTGCCCCCTGAGTTCGGCCCATGACACCCACGGTCACTATGAACCACTGGAAGCATGAAGAAGCTCTGACAATCCCGGGAAGCAACAGTTAACGATGGAGCGTGCCTGAGCAGCCAAGCTCTCACCTGCAAGAATCTGCAAAAATACCCGCATGACCACTTTGCACTCGGATTGTACCACGATGTCCGCATGCAGCGGCTTTCGGAAACTACCTTCAAGGCTTGCACTGCGAAGGGATATACTCTCAGCTAATTCTCCAGCGATGCCAAATTCGGTGAAATCGAATACTCTTGCGATCATGCTTCGCACAAACTTCTGGCTGGCTCGGGCACATAGCATCACAAAAGAGTCGATCTCTCAATTTCAGGAGGTACATGCACATGCACTTCCGCAAGACAGTTGGAGAGTCAGATACACGTGCATGCATGGATGTATAAAATCATACTAGACTGTACTGTGCTGCTGTCCTGTGCTGTACAGTCATGCCCTATGCTGGCTGTGCGCTCCGGCACTGCTTTGTATATTCGTTGCACTTGCTTGCTGCAGTTTTGGACATAGTTTGCGGGAAGGAGTGCACCCCCTTGTGCTGGCAAGCCGTGAAATGCTGCCCGGTGCAACGAACAGACACTGTGGCAATCAGCTGAAATATATGTGTTGGCTTCCTGTAGGCTGTCCAAAGAACCGCAACAAGAGGTTCCGGGCGCTCGTTCGGATACAGCTCCCTCTCCCTCCCTACATCTCCGTCTCCTTGATACGATTCAAGCCGGCCTTTCTTGCCTGGCTTGCACAAGAATCCTCGCTCGAGCCCTGGATAACCTGGTCGGGATGGACGCATGACGGTTCTCTGCAGAGATGGTGACCTTTGACCTCTTACGTCCAGAGCTGGTTACTCGAAAGATTCCAGCTCCATATAATCTGTCCTGCAACAGACGTGCCTGCTTTTTGCGGCGCTTTGCGTGGCTCGTCCAGCGGGGCCTTCGTGTTGCTCGCGTAATACATGCAACAAGACTGTCGGTAGTGTCTGTGGTGCAGACCTCGACGATGGAGCACTTCACATCTTGCCCCTCGTTCGAAGCTTCCCACGGAAACCTGACGAAAGCAAATCATTCGTTTTCCTGCCTTCAGCCTTTTGCACACCTCCCAGGCGCCGAAGTCACGGGCCGCACCGAATCTGAACATGATCCTCCTAGCTTACACCAGCCTCAGACTGGTGTTTCCGGGAAGAAGGAGGTCGAAGTGGAAATCAAAAGGCCTGGGCAGAATTGGCACACTTGAGCATGGATAGTCAGCAAATCTAGGCTTAAAACACCAAACACTAAATCCATGCACAGCAGAAGTCCAAGCATCTGACCCAAGCTGTCGTTTCAAAGCATCCATGACCGGACAGCCATAAGTAAGCCATTGATCTGCTATAATGAATGTACTGGGCGCTGCGAGGGCAACTACATTATAAAGCTGCGTAGACTTCTAGCGCTGCAGTCCGAAGCGCAGAACAACAATGAAAAGGAAAGACCCAATCCCTGTCGGAGCCAAAACAAAGCAAGAGCTACGTAGCTTTCCAGACGCATTTGGCTCGTATGAAACATGCAGTCCGCACCGAAAGCCCCGAGTGCCTCAGAAAAAGCACAGACGGAAATCAGCACAAGGAGGCTGAGAATCTGGGAGACTCTCTGCCCTCGCTACGAGGGGTTGAGGAAGGAAAACAAGCAATGCTTATTGGCTGCTTCTTAGTTGCGTCTCCAATGTCCGAGCCAAGCAATCATGAACCATCTGCAGTCATGTGTGCAACGCTTCGGTCATGTACAAGACGACCACTTCGAAGGCAAGAATCTTGAAAAGCCTGAAGATCTTTCCTTTCTTTGGACTAACACCTGCCGAAACCCTTGACTCCTTCGACTCTTCTGCTCTACGTCCGTGTCTGCTCTCAACTTGTGCTTTGCAAGACGCATTCAAAGAGGATGAGTGGAGAGAATCTCGGAGAGGGGAAGCGGAACAGAACGCAAAAGCCCTTTGCTGCCGGCGACCGCTCGTGGCAGATGCCTCTAAAGCTGCAACTTGAGAAGCTCAGATGCTGCATAGTTCAAAGCTGTACGTTGCTCCCATTCTGAGCCATGGCTGTACGTTGCATCGGGCAGAGACCGAGGACATCATAGCCAGTCTTCATTTCCATCCTTCAAAAGAATCAAGGCCAAAGCTTTTTTTCAAAGAAGAACCAAAAAGCAAAGGGCCGCAAAGCGGGGGCCGGCGGGGCCCGGCGGGCGCCTGCTCTTCGGAAGCTTCGGCCAGAGCGACGTCGCTCTCCGGGGTGCTCGGCTCCACTTCCGAGGCCCTGAGCGGAGCGCAGAGACCGGAGCGGCCCAGCTCTCGTTTTTTGAGGGCAGGGCCGCGGCTTGGCCTTCTGAATGATCGCGAGCAGGAAGCTCAGGTCGAACCTCAAACCAAAGAGGTCCCCAAACCAGCACATGAACTAGGCATCTTCGGGAGAGGTCGCGACGGTAGACGGTTGCGACACCTCCAGAACTGCTTCAGTCTCACCGCCATGTTCCGGTCAAAGCTCCTAAGGCCATGGCCAGAGAATAAGTAACACCTGCAATTTCAAAGTCGTGTTTGCCAGTACTGCCCAGCTTCACACCAAGCCGGGACTGAACTAGGCAATGCCTAGCGCCTAGCCTGGAAAAAGGAGCAAGCATAGCCCAAGATGCTTGGCATCAGGACCACAACATCCTCCCAATGGGCAACATATGTCACAGGCACATGAAACACAGCCCAAGCATCTGCTCCTCGATCAGCAAAGCATAAATGCTCCACAGCGCCTGAAGCACAAAGCCAGATTCGGCGACCTCCTTTCATCTTTAACCATAGTGCAGCAGCGGTGCATTGTTCACGACGTTGATGCCCACCCTGTCATGTGCACATGCACACGCAAACACACGCATACACCAGCAGCAGACAGGCGATTCCGTGCTGCATACCTGCACTCAGAAGCCACCAGCACAAGCCAGCATCGCATGAAGGATGGAAACGGACTGCTGTTTCTTGTGCGTAAGACCGCACCAAGGTTCATCAACGGACACCTGTGAACAGAGACATCGGGGCTGGAAAAGGCAGTCACAAGGAGAAACATCTGAGTTGAGCACGAATACAGAAAGATATTAAATACCTTGCAGTTTTGGAGATGTGGACGGACAACTTCGGCACGTCAGTCACTGAACACTAATCGCCGATTACTAATCGCCAAAAGGCTGTAATGAACTGCCCCAGAAGATTCATGGGAGCCTCAGCTGCACATCGCGAGTCGCAAGAGGCAGAGCAATGTCTGAGAAGTCGAACTGAGGCAAATGGCACTTCTTGCAATGACTATCCCACCATTCAGGATCACGGACGTCTTAACAGCAAACGGAAGCCATTGGGCGTCCGCGGCCCTGCAGGCGAAAGCTTGCTATAGGGCCTGGGGGACATCAGATCAGTCCCAGTGTGCCCCTGGGCCTGATGTAGTGCTCTCCTGCGAAGAATAAAATCTGGCAGGCCAGACCTTCGCCGGCTGCGCATCTCCGCGGTCAGGAAGCAAGCATTTGCGGGCCGTCCAACAGCTCAGGCGAGTGCCAAATAGGTTGGTCATAAGAACGGCTGCGTTGGCAATCTGCAAACCGTAGCCAATGCTCAAGATGTTGCAGGCCGCCTTGCAGTCGGTCTCACCTTCCCGCATCCTCACACAGCACGAAAGGAGAGCACCTGGGCCTTGAACACCACCATTGGCAGGTGGCTGGCCTCACAACACGCTAGCCGCCTCACGAGCCGGCACCCTGGGATGGCGGCCTTCATCCGCCTCACTGCTTCCAGGACCATTCCAGTCGGTGCAACCTTTGCAGCTTCGCAATATCTCAGGTGATCGGGGAACTGAGGAGGGCCCTGGCATAGGACGTGATGGTAATCAGTGGGCATGCCAACGACAGGCTCAAGGTCAGCACCTGCAACATGTGCGAGTCTGCACTCTTTCCAGGCAAACCGGCAAAACAAGGAGTTCGCAAAGGCTGAGACATGCCGCAACAGAAGCTTACAGAACACGTTCATCTTTTCAGGGTGTTGCAAGAGTCGCGTGCAACATAACGGAACGACTACCTAGTAGGGGTGAGACTTGCTACCCTTGCCCTTGGATTTGGACGGGCCCCACCAGCCGTCGTCCCAACCTCCCCCGCCACCTCCGCCTCCCCAACCCCCACCCCCGTTCCATATCTCACCAAGCATCTCCATGGCCTGCCACAGCTGGCCCACGTCGATGCCTTTGCCTTTGCCCCAGCCTTTCCCATCGCCGAAGCCCATCTCGAAGCCCTTCATGCCTTTGCCCTTGCCTTTCCTTTTGGGCTCTTTACCGGGTGGGTAGCCATCGGGGTGGATCTTCACGTTGGCTGCCTTGACACCTCGGGCATCTTCTACGATGTTGAAGGACACGATCGTGTCGTTGGAGTGATCACCTAGCTGACTCCGCAAGACCAAAATGTCCTTTTCGTAGACCTCCTTGGTCTCTTCACAGTCGATGAAGCCAAGACCTCTGGCAGCATCAAAGTTCTTCACTCTGCCCCAGTATGTGGGCAAGCGCTCGGCCATGTCGGCTATCCTTTCCTTAGCATGCGAGCAGGGGGGGACTGCACAAATTCGCACAGAAATTCAGGCCAGTCCAATTCGAGCAGGCGTCTATGATCTCCACTTCAACGGCCTTGGGGCCTTTGATGCCGGTTTCCACCTTGAAGGTTACCTTGCATGGAGATTAGATATTGCAGGTCCAACAACTCAGTCGCTTTGCCCAGCAGTCAATCTCAGACAGCCAGGCCGCTCTGTCTCCGGTACTAACAATCAAACCGTTCAAGGAGCTTCGCAGAAGAAAGATGTCTTTTCCTGGACAAAGCAAACAAGCAAACGGAGGATGAAAGAACCCTTCCCCAACTGCCCAACTGCAAGCAGCTGAGGATCCATAGATTTGCTGGGTGTCTTTGCACTCTATGAAGCCGAAACCTTTGTCTTCATTGTAGTCCACGATCTGCCCACTGTAGGCCGGACTGTCTTCGGTCGCTGGTGCAGCGGCGACAGCTGTTGGAAGGGCCACACCGGGCACCGTCGGCACAGCCGCATACCTGAATTACAGACACTCAGGCATCCCTCGCTCGCACGGACTGGTGTATTTCTCAAGCAAGTGCGTGGCATGCCTACACCACTCGCCGACAAGGAGCAAGCCGGCGGCGCCTGCAACACCTGCCGCACCGCCTGCCACGCCTGCAAGTTGCTGTGCGAACATCTGCTGTGCGACGACCTGCTGCGCTTGCAGTGCTTGAAGCCATGCGGTGTACTGCGCAGGGTCCATGGCCGGCACAGCCACCGCCTGGTATCCAGCCGGTATGGCATACTGCACTGGCTGGCCGTCAGGCTGCGCTGGCTGCACTGCCTGCAAGGCCTGTGCCTGCTCTGTCGCTTCTGCTACCTGTGGTTGGCCGTCCATTGGGCCAAGCTCCGCCAGCACTCGCCAGCTATCAAGTATCAGGAGGCCATTGGATCATGGCTCAACGGCTTAGGTAAAGAGAGGCCATCTCTGAGCCAACGTCCGGACAGGTTCAAGAATGGTGTACGCGGTGTACGCTTGACTCCGGCAAGGAAAACTTCAGGCTTTTCGAGAGCCTCGTGGTCCAACCAGCCCATCCTCGTCAGCGCTGGGAAGGCACACACAGCAGCCACCTGGTGTCAGCGATGTTGGACAGTGCCCGCACCGTGCCTGGACCGGTCTGAGAAAGTTGCAGCGGCCAGCACAGCCGAGAGAGTCAAGAGTGCCTTCGCACTGACGTCAGAAGGAAGACCGTGACAGCATAAAGAGTGCTCGCCGCAAAATGGACTCAAAAGCAAAGCGCTGCCAAAGTGACGTCCAACACCTGGAAGCGAGCTCCGAGCACGGCCTGCTCAGAAAACAACCAGGTAAGCTTCCGCATCCAGAACTTGCTTTGACTCTGAGATACCGACGACAAGACCGGAGCGCAGGCGTCCCCCCTGCGGCCGTCTTCGTACGAAATGTGAACTGCTATGTCAGAAACACTAAGAAACTGAGATCCAGACCAGTGAGCCCAAGTGGGTCGGCGACGATGTGCCTATGTTGGACATTGGTGGGGGCTCGGGTACACACCTATGCAAATCGCAGACACCTCCGAACCAGCATGACTGCGGAAGAAGGCCAAGGCGGCCTTGCCGGAGCGACACAGAATGCCCCTTCCCCCGTTCCCGCTGCGCGTGCTTCTCCCAGCAGGCCTTTTCCCAGGGCAGTGGGTGGGAGCTTAGGTCCCAGCCTTGGAGGACACAGGCCAGGAAGGCTGCAAAGGTGAAAAGCCCGTCTTGAGCTGTTGGCTGTAGGTAGCTGCCAGAGCTCCCAGACTTCATCCTTTCGACCTCTCGACCACAAAAAGAAGCCGTGCTTTCGCTGTTCCCGCTCGACTCCCCAAGCCCTGCCTGGACTCATCGACAGCTCCCGCATGACGCTCAGTTATGTGGGCAGGGCGCACTTAGACTAAGAAGTGAGGGCTCTTTGGGGGCTTTGAGGTCGGCTGCGTGCTGTCTGGGCAAGTTCCTTTCTGCAGCATGTCCGGGCTAAAGTGGTTCGACCTGAAACCGCAGCATGCGACAGACTCGGCAGCATCAACAGTTTGTGCAGGCACATCACGGTTGAGAGGCACATGCAGCGTGGCCAAACGATTGAAGCCGCAGTACAGAAAATGCCTTGACTCGTAAGACTCCCAGGAGACGGCGATCTTTTTGCAAACCGTCACTTCGTGGTGCTCCGGAAAATAGCACAATCAGCAACACGCACAAGGTTTGTTACAGAGCCAACAGTTGCTGACAGTCTGCTCGATGTAAATAAAAACACAGTTTTGCACAGCTGAGCACGAAACATTAATATATACGAGGAAGGTGAGAACACTCGGCGAAGTTCCAGCAACCATGAACATGCCTGCCAAAATCAGCGCTTGTGGAAAGGCGTCTTCCTGCGGGCCTGCCACAGTTGCCATGATGCAGCAATCACTTCGCAGAAAAATGGCAAGTTCGGTGCCGGGCAGGCCTTTGGTTGGCCTGGCTTCTTGGGCTCGACCATACGGTAATCGCGCGTCAGGTACTTTGCCTTCTTCATCAGCGGCCTGCCGACCAGACAAAGTTCAACAGTAAACTCGTAACTCGCCTCCAGGGTTCGTAGTGCGACTTGCCTCCAATTGAAGTTGTAGTCCTGCATGGCGCGTGCAAGGGCCAAGCGGATTGCACCTGAGGTTTGGTCTTCACAGGGGCCAGCTCTGAGACAATGAGGAAAGCAGCTGAGATGCCGGCCAGCCTGCCCACTAACACCTCCTCCGAAGCTTTTGGCAATGATGTCAAACCTCACGTGTAGTCGATGCAGAGTGCAGCTAGACTCTAGACTCAAAACTCACCTGTTCTTGCAACTGAGTGCATTGGCTTGTTTTTCTGGGACAGTGCAGCCAAGGGCTCGCAAGCCTGAGGCTTTGAACACCACTTGTTGATGATCCTTTTGCAGGCTGGAGCAAAAGACTGCCTTCAGCCACCAGTACGGGTAGTGGTTGAAGTAGGTAATGGCCTGCTCACAGCTCACTTGGCAGCTGAGTTGCGAGGGGACAGAGAGGCAAGGCGCACATCTTTGCCATTGACAATGAACTGCCCGTTGCCCTTAACGATTCGCACAATGGCGCCTTGGATGCATTGCAGAGCTACAGAACCAAGTGCAAGCCGCGAACGCTTCTGGCTGACAAGAAATTCCCTAGGCCGATTTCCGGGCCCGCCGCAAGCCGTCTTTCTCTTGCCCACGCCCTGCCAGTACCTTTCCGCGGACATGGCTGGCCGCCAGGGCATCAGCGCTCAACAACAGATGTCAGTCTGTTGCTGTTGAGGCTGTGACTGAACTTTCTCGTCCTCAACATCCATGTACCAGTTTCCATCCGGGGAACGTCCATCACCTGGACAGAAGAACAATCGGGCAGGAAGACGGCCGTCGCAAGCATGAAATTTAAGGACAGGACCCCACTTGGCCCCCGGAGGTGGCGGCTCCAGTGGTGGGTAGTAGAGATTTGGGTCCAACGGAAACTCCAGTCCTCGGCGAAACGCGGATGTCGCTTGAGTCTGCCGTCACTGCTTCCGGCCTTCGACGACGGGAACCTGCTTGTACACCGGGCCCGTGTATGGCCGGAACCTTCGGCACGGAATTTCAATAGCCTACATGCGACATCGACTGTGCATGCACTTGCTGGCTACACTTCACAGAGGCGTTTGCGACATCAGACTTGGGATGAACTGCTCCTATGGAGAACCGCCAAAACCGTCTAAAACCGAAAGGACAGGCGACAGACGCTGCGGAATCAAATCACGTGTTCCACTCTCAGCATCTGGCTTCCTTCCGCTTGGTTTTTTGCGAACATCGGGAGGCAAGTCTTTTTCGATGTCGATCCCTTCGTTCAGATTGCCATGGGATATCTGCGGCCGAAGCGGGAACACAGCTCTCAGATTCCAAGATGTCGGCGCTCTTCCCACGGATTTACATAGTTTTTCTTTCCAGCTGCATCCACTGTACCTGTTGGGATGGGCCAGTGCGTGCAAGAAACACGGAGGATGTTGACACTCCGGCTCAGGCCGTTCAGGCTAAGCCAAAACACTGTGCGCGGTGCCATACTCAATTTTTTCGGCCTTTCGCTGTGTCAGCACCTGGCCCAAAGCAAACAGAAGTTCCAACTCGGCATCGAGATCCATCGAAGCGGACGCCTTGCGAGGAAGCCTTTTCTGAGCTCGGAGGGCGGCTACTAGAGCCAGGCTAGCAGCCACACCAGTGAGTGTTGGAATGGTGGACTGGCCTGAAAACATCTGCAATGCAATAAGCTCGGAAGAGAACCTTCGAAGTCGGCCTTTGGTCACGCCTTCGACGGAGCTCACTGCTCTCTGAGCAGTTGTGGCTGCTCGTTGCGTTCCTGAAGCTTCAAGCTTACAGCACTCTCAAGTCACCGAGTGCATGGTCAACAGCCTGTCGATGGAACGAAGGCTCCGGAAAAAGCTGTCGCACCTGAAACCCGGAGCCCAATCACACAACACCAAACATCATGTGCTCGCTAAACATCGGCATTGAGGCTGCCGCCGACCACCAACATCATCGACAACAGGCGAAGCCTTTTAACGGCAGCTGGCACGGAAATCAAAGCTGGAGCGGGCAAGCGTGACGGGCCCACATGTCGATCCAGGCCAACGCCCTGCTAGTAGCAGGGTGATCCTGGCTTGAGCCTCGCCCTCCGACGGGAGCACCACAGGATCCGGGCCGAGAACTACTAAAGCAGAATCATGGTCTTTGAAGCGGCCGACAACATGGTATGCATCGAACTGACAAAAGGTCCTGATGAAACTATCTCGCCTCATGGTAGCAAGGCCTTAAGGCCTTAAGGGCTCTGCGACGGAGCAATTTTGAATTCTCCGTCTTCTTTGTTCGGATGGGTTGTTTTCCTTTCTTTGGTTCTTCTTTGTTGCCCTGATCCCCACTTTGTCGACGTCTCTTCTCCCCTAAGGTTGTCAACAAAACTCTGCTATGTCGCAGTATACGGGCGAAGAAGTCAATTGGTGTTGCACTGTTGCCTTCAAGTTTGGCTAAAATCTCTACCCCCCTCGGAGAGCAAGCACAACATATCTGTTAAAGAAAGGATCAACCTGAACATAAAAACATCTCGATCGTCATCCATTCGTTGCTCCGCTCCACAGGGCTGGAAAACTCAATTTTGGTACGGCACTTGGTTCGACGGTCCGTTCAAGCTCTGCATGCACATCTCTGATCAAGCCGCGGCTGGAGCTTGCCGAGACTGCATGGAAAGCACACAAGCGTATGCAACGAGAAAGCCTCATCAAGAACTGGAGCAGACCAGACCGAAGTGGACCGACATCGGTGTGCAGGACGGAGCAATGATGTCCGAGCAAAGTTGACATAGTCCTGGCCAGGCAGGGCGTGAGTTGCAAGATCGCAATCATCAGATATGTCAACACTTTTGCGCTGCTGCCCTAAGGCGGTCCGAAAAAGTGTATGGTCTACTGACACTCCACCGAAACCCCAGGCCCTGGAACGCCACACTTGGAACTTGAACCAAACGTGAACCATGATTTGTTTCAATTACTTGTTTGGCCTGCGACCATGACCTCCCCAGACCTGTCTACGACGTCTGGGAAACGCATGACATGGTTCCAAACTAAAAGCTCTCGGACCGACTGCGTCTTCCAGCCGCTTGCGGCAGCAACACGCAGGTGTTCTGCGCTGTTGACTGCCGCAGCAAGGCACGTTCGACCGCTTTCCACCGTTCGAGCATCACACAGATGGCATTCGCCTGCTCCAATCCCACAAAGCCAGTGCACCGCACGGACGAGCTTCACCACCTCCACACGCTTGGACAAGACCTGTCCACAGTGGTGTCAACCATCGGATTTGATAGTGCAGAAGCCTCAGTTTTGCCCAAAGGAAAGCGCGCTGCTTGAGTGGATGAAGAGGTTTGAGGCTGATCCCTGGCACCTTGGAACACTGGGTGGCAAACCATGCTTGGAATCTGATGAAGAGAATTCGATTGGATCCTCGCTGCCATTGAGGACCTCAAAATGCAACATGAGACTTACTGCAAGGAGAGTGTTACATCCTGCAGGCCAAAATCACCCAGCTACAGATCTGAGATCAGACAATGGCTGGTGAGTAACCAGTGGCACCTCGCCAGGAGACCTACCAAGCTGAGACTTCGGTGGATTCAACGACAGCGTCCCTGAGAGCAGTCTCTGGAATCTTGGACCTTGGCTGCTGAACCAGCTACCTCAATACACTCTTGCCTCGAAAGCTGGGAGGTGTTGTTGGAAGTTTCCACACCTGCTTCCACTCTTGTCTTCTGAGATGTGGTCTGAGCTCCACTGTGCTGCCTCTGGAGTCTGACCCAAACGTTCTCAGCTTGATAGACTTGTAGAAGCCACCTTCACGTGCTTGAGGAACCGGTACATTCACACCAGTCTTCTGAATGGTGCAGCAAGCGCTGCACTGACAACTCCAAAATCAATGGCAGAACCTTGGCAGCTGTTGCTTCCAGGGATGCAATCAGGCTGCCATGGCACGCTTGTAGAAACTCTGAGGATGCCAACTCATGCAATTCCAGTCACTTCATCAGCCAAGACATGCGGAACTCCTGCAAAAGGACCAGAGGTTCAGCAAGGATTTGGGATTCACACCTCCGCCTGGTCCAGAGCCAGACTCCAGATAAGGTTGCCAACCGCCAAGTCCATCCATTAAAGCGGATGCCAACAAAAAGGAAGCCTTTGCCTTCCTCTCCATACTTGTGGAAGAATCTGGTTTGGAGGTGTGAACCAGCCAGCGTCACTAGCCCACCAGATGTCCCATCACCGTACACCTGTCCTGAAAAAGATCGCAAAGAACCTCTTGCATGTCAAGTGGGCCCTTCAGTACCAGCGGTCAGCTCCCTGGGACAGAGCGGTTTAAAACCACTTGTCACTTGAGGTTGCAGCCGAAAAGGGTCGTCACCGCTCTGAGCTCCAAACTTCGTTCCCACTGGCAACAAGCTGTCAAGCAAGCAAAGCACGGACACTTCTTTTTCTCACTCGCGGTCTTGAGCCAAGCGC